TTAAAGATCCGACTTCAAATAAAATTTTCTGAAAATGTTAAATAGGAGATGACATTCGCATTATGTTATAAAGAATCTGTGAAAGTCTCATTTAATTTGATTGAGTGGTATAAGAGGAGTTGCGGATAAGAGATGGGTACCCCGAAGCATATTCGCCTAAAAGACGGACGGACATCCCCATCACTATATACTCTGCCACTTTTCAAGCGGAGGATATAATGATAAAAAAAATTTAATGCAACTCTAAATGTGATTTTTTTTATTTAATAGCAAACTGACCATGAGAAAAAAGGCATGTAAGTCACAGATATTTAAAAAAGTATCTAGTTTGAACAAAAAATATACATGTGACTGAATTGCAAAGTAAGTTTTAATACGGTGTACTTGAATATCAAAGCCACTCATTTACAGGAGTGTATGATGTAAAACATTCAAAGAACAAAATACAATAATATCATCATTATTGAACATGGAACCTGAAAAATATCAGGATCAGCAGCCGACTTCAGTGGAAATTTGGAAGTGGATGTACACGTACCACTGACAAATAAAATCTGAATAAATCCATACACCGACGGGGTTCTCTGCTAGATTACTCAAAAGATATACCAATGAATAGAATTTTTACTGAAAATGAAATACGAAAAAGCAGTTTATACAGAAATTAATACTTTATAAAAGGTGATACTAAAGGAGAGAAGTTCGGATGCTGATATTTGTAGGATAACAGAAGACGGACAAGGAAGAACCTAGTACGCCAGTGTCTGATGGCTAGAGAGAAAACAGAAAAGGAAATTTACAAAGTAGTTAACTTTCTTTGGCCATACATCTACCCACGACGAGAATTAAGTCTGATTAATTCTTATACAACGCACGTCTAGATGCTAGTACAATATTTATATGTTGGTTAGTTTTTCAATATATTTACAATTTGGTGCCGATTGAAGCGAGGAACCAAATCCAGTTGCGGGGAGAGTTATAATACATGTAACATACTTTGTAAACATTTAACAGGAAGAATTTATTTCTTTGCATTTCTATCTATTTCCTTACAACTCTAGATAGTGTGTGTCTTATCTTGATCAAGATAATGATGACAATTTCGTTTCCACAATGCATAGTTCTCAAACTTATTTTGTTTTCTGTATATCTAAAATTTCTATCAGGTTTGAAGGCGGAAATCTCTTTTCTTCTAAATTTAGTCTTTTTATTAGTTATATGTTGATTTGTTCTTGGTTGCTAAAGAAAGAAATGACTTGTTGATAATTTTTCTCACATTCTTAAAAAAGTTGTGTTGTCTTAACACGAGAATGTTGATATCTTGATATCTCTGCTTCATTAACCTTTTTGTATATAGCTTGACGGTTTTTAAAAAGAAATTTGTTTTGTGAATTTTAACAATTTTTATGCTATATGTAAATCTAGTTTTTAAATGAAATAAAGGGAAGAAATTGAATGGTACAACATATTCTTTAATGTGTACTGCCAAAATCTAATGAAAAACCAAAGATTCTCAGAACGAGGAAGTTCACAATAAGTTGGACCAAACCCTAAATCACTCGTATGTCCACATGTCTCTTTAAAGGATGTGTGTTAATTTCAGTTGGACCAAACCCTAAATCACTTGTATGTCCACATGTCTCTTTTAAGGATATGTGTTAATTTCAGTTGGACCAAACCCTAAATCCCTTGTATGTCCACATGTCTCTTTTAAGGATGTGTGTTAATTTCAGTTGGACCAAACCCTAAATCCCTTGTATGTCCACATGTCTCTTTTAAGGATGTGTGTTAATTTCAGTGTGTTAATTTCAGACCAAACCCTAAATCATTGTATGTGTGTTAATTTCAGTTGGACCAAACCCTAAATGTCTGTCTTTTTTAAGGATGTGTGTTAATTTCAGTTGGACCAAACCCTAAATCACTCGTATGTCCACATGTCTCTTTCAAGGATGTGTGTTAATTTCAGTTGGACCAAACCCTAAATCCCTTGTATGTCCACATGTCTCTTTTAAGGATGTGTGTTAATTTCAGTTGGACCAAACCCTAAATCCCTTGTATGTCCACATGTCTCTTTTAAGGATGTGTGTTAATTTCAGTTGGACCAAACCCTTGGACCAAACCCTAAATGTCTCTTTTAAGGATGTGTGTTAATTTCAGTTGGACCAAACCCCTCTATGTCCACATGTCTCTTTTAAGGATGTGTGTTAATTTCAGTGACCAAACCCTAAATCACTCGTATGTCCACATGTCTCTTTTAAGGATGTGTGTTAATTTCAGTTGGACCAAACCCTAAATCATTGAATGTCCACATGTCTCTTTTAAGGATGTGTGTTAATTTCAGTTGGACCAAACCCTAAATCATTGTATGTCCACATGTCTCTTTTAAGGATGTGTGTTAATTTCAGTTGGACCAAACCCTAAATCATTGTATGTCCACATGTCTCTTTTAAGGATGTGTGTTAATTTCAGTTGGACCAAACCCTAAATCACTTGTATGTCCACATGTCTCTTTTAAGGATGTGTGTTAATTTCTATGTCCACATGTCTCTTTTAAGGATGTGTGTTAATTTCAGTTGGACCAAACCCTAAATCACTGGTATGTACACATGTCTCTTTTAAGGATGTGTGTTATTTCAGTTGGACCACAAATCCCTTGTATGTCCACATGTCTCTTTTAAGGATGTGTGTTAATTTCAGTTGGACCAAACCCTAAATCCCTTGTATGTCCACATGTCTCTTTTAAGGATGTGTGTTAATTTCATGTCTCTTTTAAAAATGTGTGTTAATTTCAGTTGGACCAAACCCTAAATCATTGTATGTCCACATGTCTCTTTTAAGGATGTGTGTTAATTTCAGTTGGACCAAACCCTAAATCCCTTGTATGTCCACATGTCTCTTTTAAGGATGTGTGTTAATTTCAGTTGGACCAAACCCTAAATCCCTTGTATGTCCACATGTCTCTTTTAAGTGTGTGTTAATTTCAGTCCAAACCCTAAATCATGTCTCTCTTTAAGGATGTGTGTTAATTTCAGTTGGACCAAACCCTAAATCACTTGTATGTCCACATGTCTCTTTTAAGGATGTGTGTTAATTTCAGTTGGACCAAACCCTAAATCACTTGTATGTCCACATGTCTCTTTTAAGGATGTGTGTTAATTTGTGTTAATCACTTGTATGTCCACATGTCTAAATCATTGTATGTCCACATGTCTCTTTTAAGTGTTAATTTCAGTTGGACCAAACCCTAAATCACTTGTATGTCCACATTCCTCTTTTAAGGATGTGTGTTAATTTCAGTTGGACCAAACCCTAAATCACTTGTATCTCCACATGTCTCTTTTAAGGATGTGTGTTAATTTCAGTTGGACCAAACCCCTTAATCACTTGTATGTCCACATGTCTCTTTTAAAAATGTGTGTTAATTTCAGTTGGACCAAACCCTAAATCCCTTGTATGTCCACATGTCTCTTTTAAGGATGTGTGTTAATTTCAGTTGGACCAAACCCTAAATCACTTGTATGTCCACATGTCTCTTTTAAGGATGTGTGTTAATTTCAGTTGGACCAAACCCCTTAATCACTTGTATGTCCACATGTCTCTTTTAAAAATGTGTGTTAATTTCAGTTGGACCAAACCCTAAATCATTGTATGTCCACATGTCTCTTTTAAGGATGTGTGTTAATTTTCTTTTAAGGATGTGTGTTAATTTCAGTTGGACCAAACCCTAAATCCCTTGTATGTCCACATGTCTCTTTTAAGGATGTGTGTTAATTTCAGTTGGACCAAACCCTAAATCACTTGTATGTCCACATGTCTCTTTTAAGGATGTGTGTTAATTTCAGTTGGACCAAACCCTAAATGTGTGTTAATTTCAGTTGGACCAAACCCTAAATTGTATGTCCACTTTTATGTGTGTTTTTAAGGATGTGTGTTAATTTCAGTTGGACCAAACCCTAAATCACTTGTATGTCCACATGTCTCTTTTAAGGATGTGTGTTAATTTCAGTTGGACCAAACCCTAAATCCCTTGTATGTCCACATGTCTCTTTTAAGGATGTGTGTTAATTTCAGTTGGACCAAACCCTAAATCACTTGTATGTCCACATGTCTCTTTTAAGGATGTGTGTTAATTTCAGTTGGACCAAACCCTAAATCACTTGTATGTCCACATGTCTCTTTTAAGGATGTGTGTTAATTTCAGTTGGACCAAACCCTAAATCACTTGTATGTCCACATGTCTCTTTTAAGGATGTGTGTTAATTTCAGTGTAAATCCATTGTATGTCCACATGTCTCTTTTAAGGATGTGTGTTAATTTCAGTTGGACCAAACCCTAAATCACTTGTATGTCCACATGTCTCTTTTAAGGATGTGTGTTAATTTCAGTTGGACCAAACCCTAAATCACTTGTATGTCCACATGTCTCTTTTAAGGATGTGTGTTAATTTCAGTTGGACCAAACCCTAAATCATGTCCACATGTCTCTTTTAAGGATGTGTGTTAATGTGTGTGTTAATTTCAGACCAAACCCTAAATCACTTGTATGTTTCCACATTCTTTTTAAGGATGTGTGTTAATTTCAGTGACCAAAGCCTAAATCACTTGTATGTCCACATGTCTCTTTTAAGGATGTGTGTGTTAATTTCAGTTGGACCAAACTCTAAATCACTTCTTGTATGTCCACATGTCTCTTTTAATGATGTGTGTTAATTTCAGTTAGACCAAACTCTAAATCATTTGTATGTCCACATGTCTCTTTTAAGGATGTGTGTTAATTTCAGTTGGACCAAACCCCTTAATCACTTGTATGTCCACATGTCTCTTTTAAGGATGTGTGTGAATTCAGATGGACCAAACCCTAAATCACTTGTATGTCCACCTGTCTCTTTTAAAGATGTATGTGTTAATTTGCCTGTGACCCTTTTCCCGTCTCCAGCTGGTATTTTTTATCATTCATACCATCATGTGAACGAATAGTTGAGTGTCTTGTGTACTTAGTAATAACAGTGATGTAGTGAAGTTTTACAACTAAGCTATGCGATAAATTATACGGATAATTTTTATATCTAAATTAAAGGAGTGGCGTCGGAAAAACACTTATGATGAAGCAGTATATCCTTCATGTTGTATTTTACAGATTCACCGACCCTGATCAAGGAAGTAACACACACATGTCTTATTTTACTTCTTTCGTCTTTGGTAAGTCTTTTAAAACTATACATCCCTAATTAAATTCTTTTCTGTGCGTGTATAGGATCGTTAAGTTGTTGTAAATGGCCGTGAAGAAATCTCTGCCAATCATGCTAAACTTTTAACACAATCATCTATTTACGAGTTGTTGATTTATCAATAATTTATGGATGCTATATATTGAACCGATATAAATATCATTAGAGAAAACTTCGTACAAGTATGATAAAATAGTGCAAAGAGCAGCTTTGATCTTTACACACTGAGCAAAATACACCATCGCAACGAATTTAATTGTTATAAAATAATAAATTCACTGCCAATCCTACATTTGAAAATGTAGTTCTGGGGCTCATTCTGATGACTTCAAACAGTTGGAACATGTTATTCATAATAAAGGACCATTTTTCCTTTTCTTTGTGAGGACCTTAAAGTTTAAAATTATTGTCTTACTCAAAGCAATGTACAAAATAGATTATTATTCTTCTCTAATATTTACTAACATTCAATGTTATTGTACAGTTTACTCCAGGACCTCGACTTAATTTCTTTTGTTGTCTTCAAGAAGCTTGAGATGTCTAAGTTATCAATTAAAACTAGCTTTAAATATCAAATAATCTCAGATAAAATATTAAAAATAAATTATATGTACTAGATAAACTAATTTACAAACGGAGTGCATCATTCGGTATCAAAAATTAAATTAAAAAAATAAAAGATCAGGCATATTGCAAAATATGTCGGAGAATAACTTTAACAGTTTAGACTTGCACAAATTTAGACAAAGTTTAGAAGAAATGGACACACTTTTTAATATATGATCTAAGTATTAGATCAACTTGTTAACTCATTATCAAATTTTATCAATATTATTGTTTGAAGAGATAGGATCGAAAGATGAAGCTTTAAAGTTATAGTTTCTTAATAATGCCGAAAGCGTTAAGTTTGGTTTCATCCATTCTTTTTAATATTCTTTTAAATAGATTATAAAAAAAAACCTTTAATTAAACAGTCCTCTTTGAATATTTATCGCCTATACGCAATGCCGTACACAAACTTTACCTTGAATATGTTAAATAACCAAACACGATAACAACATAGCATATCTAGCTCTGCATGTCAAGTAAAAACCTTCCTGGTTTGCTTAACATGGTATATTATTTTTACAAATCAAGAAATAAGTGATGGCAGCAGAAGAGAAAATCAAATGGTCTGAAGAAACATTTTCCATTCGAGATGTTGCATATAACAATCTGCCAACAGTCGTCAAAGTAGCTGATGGATATTACAGCGAAAATGAAGCCGAAAGCTTTTCAAATGGCGACCTTATCAAACTGGATTTTAAAAAAAGTTATTCCAAAGTACGAGGGCGGTGCGTTGGTGGTAAACCGAAAGTAGACGATCTGGGATACTTATCCCCGGACAAAGACATTCTGATTCCACTAGGTTACAAAGGGAAAGTAAAAGTGGAATGTGTGCAAAATACATTTAACAGTGTTGAAGAATTAATTAAGAACTTTCCACACTTTGTTAAAACCGGACGACCTATCACTGGGAAACGTGGGCTTTATTCTGCCGAAGAAGTCCGAATCGAGAAAGGCGTCACGCTGCAATTAGATAGAGTGATTCCTGAAGCTGGACTTGTGTGCAAGATAGACGGAAAAGAAGTACTGCTCCAATCAAATCAACTGGCACGATTTTATCTAGAACCAGATGAGAAAGAGTATACTATACGCGAAGTTGTAGACAATTTCGATTTACCGCAATACATTCGTTTCGTAGATGAAGATTTCGAGAAAATCGTGACCTCGGACTTGACGGAGGCTATTGACAATATCAGCCATTTCCATGGTTACTTACAGATCATTGGACTGATTCAACAGGAAGTGGTCGTTGGTCACCACAAGCCATCTTTAGCTGGAACTTCAGCAGAAAAGATCACCCAGAGGGCCATAGCCATTCTTCCACTTGATAGCGAGGCTGTGAGGAATATTGAGGTCTATCTTCCAGAGTATGAAGAAAAAAATGATTATGAATTTTTCTTGGCGCGAAATTTTTCCAAAAATGTCAATATGGATTTTGTGGACGGTGGACTTTATCTGGAATTTAGCAAGGCCCCTCGAATTCATCTGGTGCCACATCCGGAACTTGAGGAGGAACCACCACCTAGACCACCACCGCCTCCTGGCAGAAGTAAGTGATCAAATTAATGATTATTTATATATATATATATATATATATATATATATATATATATATATATATATATATATATATCTAAAGGGCAATCTAAAATTATATATATAAAAGGTATATATATATATAATTGGTTATTGAGGTTGCATAGGACTGTATTGAGAATTTTAGTACTAATTTATTTATTAAATAACACAACTCACTTGTCCCATGCTTATTGGCCTATTGAATATGCCATATAGATCTCGCGATTTCTCTGACTGATAATTCCTATACTCTGCTGCAAGGTTATGAGTCTGGTGACAATTTGCCTTTAATCCTTCAATATTTTATCCTTTATTGCCGACACAATTTGAGTGAGCCAGTCATATCTTCCAGTGTTTGTGACGGTATGATGTTTATGTAACGAGTCTTGTTTTATCTATCTCTATTTCTGACCTGGGGATAGAAAATACTAAAATCGTCAAATTATATCCAGTCACACACTGGAAAATTCTTTTCGTCACATCTTACTTAATTTTAACCTTATCTAGGCAGAAGGCTCAAGTGAGATTTTCTGATCGAAGAGTGTCAGGCTTCCGTCTGCATGTCGTCTTTCCTGTTTTTTGTTGTCTTTTAAAAACATTCACATTTTTGATTTCTTCTTTGGAAGCACTTAACGAATTTCTTCAAAACTTGCCAAAAACCATCCTTTGATGTAGGAATTAAAATTTTTGTCAAGAAAATTATCATTACTTTTTGACGGTGTGATAATTTTGAATTCGTGGATATTTGGGTTGCACGGACCTAAAAAAAATCAGAGGTTTGATCTGGTACCATGGAGGAGTGAGTATCTCCTGCCGACCGGTCGCACTCGCTCTATGCTCCTTGTCATGATCGGGAAATAACTTGATTTAAGTCCGTCGACAATTCAGTGTGTATTTAAGGAATTACTGTCTAGTCAGTATAGTATGCCAGTATATTTCTCACTTTTGTTGATGTCCCTGGCATACTATACTAACTAGACAGTGATTCCTTATATTTCCATTTCATTGTGAATCAAAATTGTAGATTTATATTTTAAAAATGTAGACAAGGATTTAAATTACAAGAGGATTCCCATGCCAATTTCAAAAGTCGTTTCCCACTGACGTAAAACACAAAGGCAGCCGCAAAAGATTTACATGCATATTTGGCCTCTTTAGTATCAGACACAGAGACAGATGCGCAGATTTGAATGCATATAAGGACTCCTTAGCTGCTGACTTATCGAACTGCCTAATTTACATTCCGGTAGAATTATCAAGAAATCAACTCCGCTAACTTTCAAAGAGTTATCACAGGGGAAAAAAATTAGAAATGGAAATATATAATGCCAACAATTAGTATTAAAAAGGACAGTCAGCATTTAACTGAATGATAAATTGTATTTGCTGACAAGGTTATTGTATCGACCATAGAACTTACGAAATGAAGACTTTAAACGAGACTGCTGATATTCTTATTTCAGCAACCCGTTTGTCAATAATTTACCTCGTTTTAGAAATTGTTCATATGTAGAGCATGCTCATGCGTATCGAATCAACTGAGAGATATTTAAAAACCGAATGCAGGTGATGAAGGTATATTGCTGCATAAGTAATGGAAGATGATGTTGAGATAACAGAGAGTTTCTTTTAGGGATCGTAGGGGGTCGGAAATAACCTTCATTCCCAATGGTAAAAAGTATGTGTTTTCCCAATTTCATAAAAGAAAATTCTCAAAGGAAATTAAAACAGACAAATATAGTAAAAATGTCTGAACTCAGTAACATGTTTAATAGGAATAATGTGAAATAATTCTAAAAGGCATACATCAAAAACTGATTTACTGAATGTAAAAATGTCAATAAATACCTTGCAAATAAAAAAACCTCTTATTTGCTGAGACTGCTGATATTCTTTTTTAAGCAACTCGTTTGTCAATAACATACTTCGTTTTAGAAATTGTTCATACGTAAAGCATACTCTTGCGTATCGAATCAACTGAGAGATATAAACCCGTATGCAGGTGATGAAGGTATATTGGTGCAATAGTAAGGGAGGTTAACGATTGGAAAGTAAAAGTCATCTTGTTTGTCATATAGCTCGGTTGTTAGATTACCATTAACGTCTTTCTCCAAGAGAATACCTTGAATATGAAACATACGTGTCAGACTGCGGTTTCTTTTATTTCAAGTTCACTGGGATTTATCGAATCGACGCCAGAGTGAAATAACCATTGTTAATTGACAATACGTCGTCGATATATCTGAATGTCGAGTTAATGGCCATAGCGAATGTTTTCTTCTTTTCACGTATAAAATCTTGGACAAAGTCTGACTCATCTGAATAGAAAGCCGAATCTTAAGCGACAGCTTCATTACATACTTAAGATTTTAGTTTCCTCCATTCATGACACCTTGTGGTAGGGCGGACCAATATGAGACCTAAGTTTTACTCAGAAATAAAAGGATATATCTTTAAAAAGCTTCTTTTGAACAGCAAAACCATGATTAGTTACAGCGTTGCAGAAGCAACCTTAGGTAGTGTAAATTCAAGATTGGTCTAATCATGACTCTTTGCTAGGATAGGGCCACAACCGGGGATCCAAATTTAACATGGGAATATATAGGAAAGATGCATAAAAATCTTCTCATGAACAACAAATACGTGTCTGTTATTTTATATGGAATTATCCTCAGGTAGTGTAGATTGAAGTTTGTACCCTGGGGGTTGGTTAGTTCAGAAATAAAGGATCAGAGCTTTACGTTGAAGTATATGATTTTTTTTCCAGGAGAAACAAAGCAATGATTATTTGTATCTAGATTATAGTATAGAATGATGACCTCAAGGGGGATGGGATGGAGCCACAAAAAGCCCAAAATGAGGGATCAAAGTCATGATTAGTCATATTTGTAATGAAGCATATACTTTTTGTGAATTTAAATTTGATCAAGTCATGACACCTGGGATAGAATGGGTATCTGTTTAAAGTTTTTCATAAGAATATAGAAAAAGAAATATGCCGATGAATACCAGAAAGACTATAGCTACTCAGATAAGCGTTGTGACCCACGAAGCTCTTGTTATTTTTTTAATGCAATTTGGTGTGTACTGTCTTCCGGGTCCTTGATTGGTTATTAAACCATATTATCAGTACGTACGGGTCCTGGCTGACAAAGCAGGTAACAACATTGTCTTCGTTTGTAGGCTCATTATATAAATTGTATTTTAGAAGAACTACAAGTGGAAATCCAACTTATACCAATTTTTCCCTTTCTAAGGAAGTTTATTCTTTAAAATCATATGGACAGTTTTGAAATTTTTAATATCCTTTAGAACCAAAATGAATTTAAACTGCTATAAATATACCGGTATTGGATTTCGAAACTTCATAAGAATCTTACAAACAAAGATACATAGCGGGTTCTAGTAAATGTCCAACCAAGCCTCTTTCTTTACTCCTTACTAAGATATTAACAGTAATTAAGGAGAAATTTCAAGAGTAAAGTGCAACAATATATTCAAGAAGTGGTATAAATCAGATGTGGATACCTAAATATTGAAAGGAACTTTTGGACAATTTGAAATCACAAGATTGTACCAAAATCAACAGCATAAAAACTAACGCCTTTTCAACTTTATACACAACCATTCCCACCGGTAAATTAAAGTCCAGGCTTTTTGATATCATCAACAGCTGCTTCAATAAAAACGGAATTGACGTACCTTATCGTGAACTGGTTTATTGGAATTTCAATGGATACCAATTTCGGCCCGTTATTAGCAGACCTATTTTTGTTTTCACGTGAAGCAGAATTTTTGCAAAATCTTATGCATGAAAAGAAAAAAAACCTTTGAGCTTGTTCACATAAATGTCTTTGCTCTAGATAAAAATTCTCCTTTGTCGTTTAATAGAAGCTGAATGAAAATAATTATCCAATTCAATTAAAATTGCATAAAGTTGTCATTTGCTAATTTCATTTAAAAAAAGAAAAGAAAATAGGTTTGTTTCCGTATAATACATGTACATACACTATAAGAAATAGAAAGAAGATAATTACAGGGTACAGGTCATAATAGATATATCACAACTAAAATATAACAGTCAAAACGCCGTGTAGATTAAATTACAGTCTTATTTCAATTATTATACTTCTGTTAAAATGTTTCCTTTATCAAGTTCAGAAGGTAAAATAACTATTCTTCATAGTCTGCAAGCCCTCGGGGAATAGTTCTCTGTCGCGGGTTTGATAAAAGAGCTATCCCACTCACAACCATTGGATAAGTGTATACTATACCCTCTGCTTAGAGTAGCATTTCCTGGACATATATACTAACTATCACGTAAATGATGCCTTTGTTCTTTATTTAATGATAATCATCGAGTCGACTGAATAAAGGAATTGTTTATCTGTTTAATGCTGCAAATAATAAGTACAATATAGTCATACAATTATTTGCATTTTTATTTCCTTGTTGTTGAAATCTAAAGTGGAATGCACGAAAAATCTGCAAAATTTTACCACATGATACAAGTTAAAAAAATACTTTTAAAGTGTATTTTAAAATGTACTTTACAATATTTTTTCAAAGTTTATGTGTGTCCATTTTTTAACTCTGGATACGTGTTTCTTTGTAAACTTTAAGAACATTGTTTGTTAAAGTCCCTTAGAACATTCTTCAATAATATTGAGACACACTACATACTGATGGAGGGGGGGGGGGGGCTTCAAAATTTCGACCGTTACCACTACGACACAAGACTCAATCTAAACGTCTCATATGAAGGACCGATCTCCGCGACTCAAGAGCAGAAGCTTTGACAAATGCGCATCTTGGGCGAGCAATATATATATACATATATATATATATATATATATATATATATATATATATATATATATATATATATATATATATATATATATATATATATATATATATAAATTTGCAATAAAAGTTGCCCACTTTCTTTTAAAAATTTTTGCTTAAGGATTTTTTTTTACTAATATTTTGTCATTTAATAGAATTCGCAAAAAATTGACTTCAAGCAAGATTAATAATACCTTTAAGGTAGCAACATATTTGTCATTAGCCTCGCTCTGTTTAGAAAGTGATAATGTCTAGATCTTACTTTTTTCTATTAAATCAAAATTAAGACCGAAAAAAATCGATAGGTATGTATTAATGGTATAAAAGAAGTTCACGATAGAGAAATTTTTAAGTCATCATATTTCACAAACATTATAGCTGTCGGTTCCCCATAAGTGACATTTATAAAGTTTTGCACGTGTATTATAAAAAGGCTATATAAGATTCAATGCCTTCAGTAAATGTATTAAAATGTATGTATTTTAAATTAAGTCTTACTTCTCGTAGCTTGACACAGAGAGAAAGTATGGTGGACATGCATGTGTATCTCTTAGCACTCAATTGATTTCGATCAGCATATTACATAAAATGTATGAATCACTTAAACACAAGGTTCTTGCGTATTATATAATTCTGATAGCATGAGGTGATATCTCAAGCAAATCATAGAACGCAATTTAAACCGGTTTTCTGGATCAGTCCTACATGTTGTCAGCTGCGTGATCTGATTCAATGATCATACTCTTAAAAAAGTTAAAAATAGACCTCATTCAAAGAGGATTTGATATCTTAAAAAATGCTTTCATGATTTGAAAATGTTTTTCCTTTTCTGAAATAGTTTTATAAAACATAGTTTTTTCTCCTTTTCATGGGAAACAATTTATTTTCAAGGATCGTCTGAAATGCATTGAGCATACGATCATTCCTGGTGCCGTGCAGATATAATGACAACATAAATTTTGAAAGGGAGAACTTCTTTGCTGTAATTCTATTTTCTTGGAAATTTGCAAACCTTGGCGCGTCAAACATTCTATCTTTTCCAATTGCATTGCAATTGCATATTTTTTTTATTTGTATTGCTATTTTTTTGTATTCTGTAATGTCAATCAGACGACTGTAGAATACAAATAAAAATTTACAGTAAGAAAAGTAAGCAAATATACAATGAAAAGATACATTGAAAATAGAGAAATCGTACAATGAAAATGGAAAATATTGAATATTGAAGCGCTTCACTTGCCATTCATATAAAGCAACTATGATAGCGTTTAATAATTTTAATAAATCAAATAAGTTTTGTCAGCGTGGCAATATACTTCTTTTCTAAATGTTCATTTCTAGTCTGCCACATCTATTTCATATTTTGACGTATTCATCTAAGGTCAACTAAAAACTAAAATATATGGCAAACGAGATGAATTCAGATTTTTAATCGTCATCTTTACATATGAAATAATATTCTGCTTAAAAAACCTTTATATGATATAGGAATATGATGCTTAAATTTCTACGCTTTGAGTTTGGCTTCCTACTGATTGTTAGGCTTTTGTTGATTAAAACTAAATTAATTTTGACGAATGGTGTGTCCTCTACTATATCAATATAAGGCAGGGATCTTTCTCCTTCAGGGTACCTGATCCCCCCTCGGGATTTCCAGGGATCCTGTTTATGCCCTGTTTACAGAATTGTATTGTCTTTAGTTTGAAATCAATCGTTGTACATTTTCTTCACTTTTTTCATTTAATATATTGAAATATATGGAGATGAAGGATATGGAGATAACGAACAGTATGTGTTTTCCCAATTTCTTAAAAGAAAATTCTCAAAAGAAATCAAAACAGACAAATATGGTCAAAAAATGTCTGAACTCAGTAACATGTATAATAGGAATAAAATTAAAAAAAATCTAAAAGGCATACATCAAAGACTAATTTACTGAATGTAAAAATGTCAATAAATACCTTGCAAATAAAAAAAACAACTCTTATTTGAATTCATTTACAAAAATATTAAAAATAACATTTTTCCCGTTTCAACCAAATGTTAATATTTTTCCCAAATGGAAAAGCCCAGTCGGGCCCTTGATTTTAAGATCTAAAAAACCCTACAATGACCAGTATTCAAGATCAAAAGTCACTAAAATAATACAAATCAGAAACAGGGCAAACACGGACTTCTGAAACATCAGAGGTGGGAACGGGTGCCATGGAGGAGTGAGCATCCCTTACCGATCGGTCAAATCCGCCGTGTGCATCTTGTCATGATCGGGGAAAAGGGAGAGAGAAAAACCTTACATAATCCAGTGTGTTAATAATGGTCCACTAGTAACTACTATTATGTAAAATGCCAGTGATTGGTTGTTTCTTCTGACAGGGTCATTGTATCGACCAAAAAACTTGCAAAATAATGACTTCAAATGAGATGTTGATATTATTGTTACATCAGTTATATTGTTATTTCAAATTTTCTAAAAGTTCCATGGAATTTTTAAGTATCCACATCTGATTTAAACCACTTCTCGAATATATGGTTGTACAGTATTCCTGAAGTTTCTCCATCACTGTTGTGGATATATATTTTAATGAGTAGTAAAGGAAAGGGCTTCAGTGACCTTTCCCCTAGAAATGGGTACTTAAATATCTCCTGGAGGAATAATCCGTGAATCATCTATAATATTTCTTTCCGAAATTCAAAGCAAATATATAATGTGACCTTCCAAACCTCCAAGGACTAATTTTGATTTTATAAAGGAGATTACAGAATAATTGATTAATTATCTCTTTGGATTCTCTAGAATTCACGAAAAATAGATAATCATGTTCTATTCTTTTTCAAATTTTAATTTTACGGGTCATTCAAATGACCTTAATTTTAAATAAAATCTACTGCTGGGTTTTACTCTATCTGCCATGTTTTACACCAATTGTTAGGTCATTATAGTATACTAGTTTGATGACGGAGTTTTCAATTTACCTGACTAATACATAAGCTTTGCCACGTACATGAGTTTATGTACATTGGATTTATAAAAATAACTTGGATTTATAAAATTAACAGCCATTAGTTATCATAATCAGTTACATTTTTAAAAAAAGTACTGGAAGTAAACAGATAAATTTTATATGATTCGCCTCAAACTGAAAATTCAATACTTGATAAATTAAATATTTTTTTAAGTTTTGGCACAAATTTGTACTTATGTACATGTGAATTCATGAACTGGTTTTAATATCAGCAGCCTCGTTTAAAGTCATCATTTCGTAAGTTCTATGGTCGGCACAATGCCCTTGTCAGCAAATACAATTTATCATTGAGTCTAATGCTGACTGACGTCTTTCATACTAATTGTTAGTCCATTATTTATACGCTGAATTGCCGACGGATTTTCCATGATTTCCCACTCATGACAAGGAGCACACGGTGGATGTGACTGGTCGGAAGGGGATGCTCACTCTTCTATGGCACCTGATTCCACCTCTGATGTTTTGGAGGTCCGTGTTTGCTCTGCTCACATTTTGTATTGATTTATGGGCTTTGATCTTGAATACTGTTCGATATCTCCATATCTTTCATTTTAAAATGTGTTCTAAATTTAAAGGTTATAATATGAGAACAAATATCAACATACATAGTTTCATCCAAATGCAAAAGCAAAGGAAAAAGTAATCAAAAGGAAGACAAAGTCGAAATAAAGATGGATAAAGGGGAAAACTGATGTGTTTGACTAACATTTCTATTCTTGTATTTTTTGAAGAGTCTTTCTACATTATACATCTAAACATACCATTGTCAATATACAAATATATATATGATCTCGTTTCCTATTAGGAACAGGGATAAAATGTTTATTTATTTCCGGAGTTTTATGGTCTTGAAATACTAATAAAGATAATACAACTTGAGTTAAAAGAAAATCAATTGCAACAAAATTATAAATAACCAATTCGTTAAGTGCCTTTACAAAGCGTGTTATTTTAGTGATCCTGTATTCAAGAGATGTTTCCTCAAATCAATCTTTCCCGGATGTTTATAAATTTATCAGCAATTAATTTTGGTTAAAAATGATTAAACAAGATGGCAAACAGAATTGATGATGGTATTGAATGGTCTAGTGAGACTTTTTCTTTTATTACTATTGTGAATGACAAATTACCAACGATTGTAAAAGTCGCTGATGGATATTACTGTGAGAACGAGGCTGAGAGCTTTTCAAACGGAGATCTCATAAAACTAGATTTCAAGAGACACTATACAAAAGTCAAAGCACGCCCCGTCGGCACAAATCTTTTGGAAGGAAAAGATGACTCAAATATTGGTTCAGAAATTCTTATACCATTGGGTTATTGTGGTAAGCTCCATGTGCATTGTCTCAAAGACACTTTTCATAGCATGAAAGATCTTGTGGAATATTTTCCAAGATTTATAAAGGTGGGAGTGTCTTTTAATGCTCACAAAGGAAAACGTTGGACAATTCCCATCAGGATACATACCGGGGCCGAGCTGGAACTAGATAGAGAAATTCCTGACATGGGTATTGTATGCAGAATCAACCAAACAAAAATATTGGTATCTTATGATGCAGAGGTCTTGTGTTATCTTATTCCAGACAAAACACCATACACGATACGTGAAGTTGTAGAAACTTTCAAAATGCCTCAGTATGTACGCTTTATAGACTCTGAAATGGAAAGAGTCATGACCGAAAATCTGAACGAGGCCATTGATAACATCACTCATTTCGAGGGTTTCTTCAAGATTACGGGTATTTTCAGACAAGAGGTGGTCATTGGGCATCACAAACCGGCAGGCGTGCTGCCATCTACGAGCGGATTCTCGTGTCAAAGATCTATAGCCATTCTACCACTGGATAGTGAGGTGGTGCAAAACCTTGAAGTGTATGCTCCAATATATGATGATTTCGTGGATTACGAACTTATGACAATCCGAAATTTTTCGACCAACGTAAACATGGACGTTGTTGAAGGAAGTCTTTACTTAGAATTTCAAAAGAAACCCATGGTTCACCTTCTTCCGTCGAATGAACTCCCACCCCCTCGTCCCCCTCTTCCAAGTGAGTTAAAAATTATGTTAAAATCTTATTTGGGACCAAACCACTCTAAGAATTTGATAAATGAAATACAAATGTCGAAACAAGTGATAAAAAGTAAATTAACTAATGTAATTCGATAATGTACGCATGTAATAATGCATAGTGATTTTCCTAATTTAAAATAAAAAATAATTAGCGATGGATAGTTGCAAATCTATTATAAAAAAATGATGCTAAATGCCATAAAGTACTGAAAATACTAATGTTAATATTCCTACTTTTTTTATTTAACTCCATTCTAAAGTTTTCTTTGAGTATTGTTGCGAGGGAAAATAATTTATACGCAAGGGTTTGATTACTCTTTTGTATATGAATCTGTCCAGTGTTCCATGCCTCATATTTGATTTAATTTTGAATTCCCATGAATACCATATTAGCAGACCTATTTTTGTATTCATATGAAGCAGAATGTGTCCAAAATCTTAAACATGAAAAGAAGAAAACACTAACTGTGGCCTTCAACTCGACATTTAGATATATCAACAACGTATTGTCAATGAACAATGGTACCATATACTTAGTATCTCGATGAGCTTGAGATAAAAGATGCCACCGAGTCTGACAGATCTGTTTCATATCTGGATATTGTACAAGAATAATACTTTAATTGTAATCTAACAACCGAGCTCTATGATAAACATGATGACTTTAACTTTACAATTGTCAACTTCCCTTACTTATGCAGCAATATACCATCATCACCTGCATATGGAGTTTGTATATCTCAGTTGATTCGATATGCAAGAGCATGCTCTACATATGAGCAATTTCTGAAACGAGGTAAATCATTGACAAAAACAAGCTAATGAAACAAGAATATCAGCAGTCTCGTTTAGAGTCATCATTTCGTAAGTGTTATGGTCGAAACGATGACCTTATCAGCAAATACAATTTATCATTGAGTCAAATGCTGACTGACGTTTTTCATACTAATTGTTAGTCCATTATTTACCTACTCATCCATGGCACCTGATCCCACCTCCGATGTTTTGGAGGCCCGTGTTTGCTCTGCTCCTAATTTGTATTGTTTTTATCAACTTTTGATCTTGAATACCATTCCTTATCTCCATTTGTTTCATTGTTCCTATAAGGCAATAATTTTTGAATTTGTAATTGATCGAAAATTAAAGACTCATTATTCTACAGTTTTGGATTTTTAAATAAAAACCTGCGACGTGATTTCAACCCAACCCCCCAACCCCCCTAAAAAAAAACAAACAATTGGCTACATTTAATTTGTTCATGTTTTAAAATTCGCCATCAATTTTCATATTCATATTGCAGAATTGATCTTGTGCAGCAGCAAAAAGTTACAATTCTGATTAAATGGGCAAAAAAGTATTTACATTTTAAAATTTGTATTATTTTTGACGTGTTAACAATTTAATAGCGCAGATAAACAGTCAAATAAGGAAGTTATTAATTTTATTTATAGTTACATCACACCGCCTGTACAGAGATTTATTTCCTGTCATTTTTAAAGTGTATGATTTTCCAGCCATTTATATTGTTGTGTGTAAAATGTAAAACGTGAAGATGACGAACAGTGATCGATCTCAGAAATGTTGGCTTAAAACGAGGCGGATGAAATCACTGTAACATCAACTTACTAGTGAAAAGCCTGGCTCTCTTTGAAAATTGAATGTTCAGTTTTATTGCAAGAAGAATGTAACCTTAATTTATGCGAAAAAAGGCGTAAAAAGCTGTACATGTAATAGCGTAATATTACCATATAAATAAGGACAAAGCTGAAATTATCTCGTTTGTCAGACAATTTAGTTATTAGGTGGTCCCTTTCATTTATAGTCAGTAAAACACCCAGATATGAAGCAGGTGTAATGTTAATGTCCAGACACTTTTATTTCAAGTTCACTTGGATCGAGTAGACACATGAATAGATATTGTTAAACGTCATAGATATACCTAATGTCGAGTTGAAGGTCACGACAAGTGTTTTTTTCATCTCATGTAAAAGTATTTGATTGATTTCTGTTGCATAGGGATATACCACAACTTGCAAAATAAACAAAAATTATTCCGCTGCTTGCGTTGGTGTTATCATTTATTCGAAAAGTAAGGATCTTATTAACCCGAAATTACTTTGAAGTTATGTAAACTAAAACAGGAGACATCACCGCTTTTGACTTCAAATATATTAAGAACTCATAATATAGTAAGGTTTTTATCAGTAGGAATCATTGTTCTTACATTATAAACAAAGAATTCCTGAGCTGGACTGCTGAACATCATTGTAAATATTCAAATGTTGGAGCGAGGCGAACTTTCAAGACCTAACAACTTCTACGTCATTGCGCATAGCAATAGCAATAGCAATACGGCGGCCCGTTCCTGTAATAAATGCAGTTTTACTCGGAATTTAATCGTCTCAAATGTAAATATAAGTGATAAGCAACAATCTTAAAAAGTTCACTGGGAAATGAACTTAGTTGACTAGAAAGTGATCAAATTTATACTGAACTGCTGAAAGCCCTTTGGGCTTCACAGGATTTGATCACATGACCAACTTTTGAACCCTTTTGTTCCCATTTAACTTTTTAACATTGTTGATTATCTCTTTTTAAAAAAGCTGATATTACCTCTTCAAACAGACGATATCACCTATTTTGAATAAATGAAATCACTATCACTTATTCACAATTGGCAGTCAATTTCAAAATGGCCTCTCATGTATGCACGACTGAAGCAAAACTAATTAGTTTGCATGTGCGTTATCAGCTGTTGTATTTATTGTCGAACAAATATCACTTTACCTCCTAATATATTTTTTACTGGTACAGATGCAAACTAGAGTGCACAATTTTCAGAAAGTTAGAAACTTTTACACTGTCAATGAATGATAGGATGAAACTAAATTTTGAGTTAGTGATCGGATTGTAAATTTTGTACCTATATTTTACATTCATAATTCAAACATGCACATAAATAAAATGAACATACTCTTGTATGTATATTCTTTTGTGTTTGTGTGTGTGTTCGAGAGAAAGAAGAAATAGAGAATAAGGGTGCATAGCTGACTAGATTCATTGCTGCCATCTATGTCAATTAATCTATAGTATTCCCTGGATGCCTATTCATTGCCTTAAAAAATATTTGGAGTCATTCAGAAACCCATGGATGAATATGCTCAAATTCTGTGACAACTCAGTCTGTCCAAAATATTATGTAATTATAATGAATTTTATAAATACAAACCTTGGGGGAAAAAATAGCACTATCTTCCACTTCATCAAGACCAGGAAGTTTTAGATGCATCGACGACACTTCAGTGTTTGAATTGACTGCTGACATACCAACACTTCAATGTTTGAATTGGCTGCTTACATAATCTTTCTTTTTATCTAGACGAATCGAAATCCGCATCCAATAAAGGCGATTCGTGTCTTTTAAGAAAAAAAGTAAACCTGTTAAAGAATTTATCACTGCAATAATTATCCAATTAGCTTCTTAATTTGTAGTTGAGGAAGGCGTTTGATTGCCAAATTGTCAACCTCTTTCCCCTTAACTCTTTTCTTAAAAAAAGATCGCATGATGGATTAAAGGGCAGTTTCAGAATAGTTTAAATATTGAAAGCAAACAAAGTATGATATTTAAGAAAACCCAGAAAAATCACTTTCCTTTCTATTCAATGAACTCATACAAATAAGAAATTAAGTTTTGGTTAGATGAACCACTATATCAATATGCATTTAAACTTTCTCTTTAAAGACAACACTGCATATATAAACATGCAGATGTGATATATTTATTGTATATCATATGTACATGTATATGTCCTCCAATAAACTTGTTTTGTTAAGAGTCCACATTTCCGTTTGCATATCGTAGTTCAAAATATAAAACAGTCATGTATATTTTTGTTTATTCGTCTACCTCAATTGCCTTATAGAAATAAGTAATCAGAGGAAGGTTTTTTGAATGCCCCATTTTGCACAAAATAACAGGTCCTTTTACGATCCAATCTCGTGAAATTTAAATCAATAATTTGTTTTGCAAGGAAGTTATTAACAAATTAGAGATTTTTCATGTGGTTTCAAATTATTTCTTTTTTATTTTCTCTGCAGCCATATTGTTCTGTTGAGGTCTCTATCCAGGCCGTGTATCTTATTTATCCATTTATGTTCTTTGCAAATGATTAATGGAGCATACAAACTACGTATAGCGAGGACCGAGCTAAGAAATCTTGCAAAACAATAGGTTGGAGCGAGTAGATATGAGTCGTTGTATTAAATTTCTACAATTGCATTTATTTTCTTCATGTACAGATACCCATAGAAGAAAAGCACCCCCTACTCCAACGACTCAGTCTGGTAGGCAATATTCTATAAATTTTTTAATTTAATTGTTTGCATGCTTTGCATACAAATGTTATATAAATGTTGCATGTTTTTGAGTGTAACATTGAAAATTTTCATCCCACGAAAAACTATTTTCATCCGAGGATATGCAATACATGTAATAGCATACCCCAGTAATCATATGCTTATAATAGTGAATTTTGTGTGCATAAATACTTGTGGAATATCACCGTCGTCAAGCAATATTGACCGTTGTGGGCGTGGCTTCAACATTCACCGGCTAATAGCGTTTTTTAACAAATGATTCTCGGCGAATCAGTTTCAACTAATTTACATGAACAAATCAATAAATTTGTAGGGGACAAAACAATGGAAAAAAAGTGCCATGTTGTGAAAGAGTTGATGATCTTAAATAATTTATTTACAAATATTCATTTACCTGCATTTATTTCTAGTATGTAAAACGCCGATAGCGTTAACTGCACAACTCATCTAAATTCTTGTTGACGGAGCAATAAGTTAATTGCTGGTTACTGATATGTCACATTTACAGAATTTCCAAAACCATCTGTCGGGGGTCCACAATTTAGAGAGGCAACAAAAATCAAAGATGCTAAATCCAATCGTTCTCCAGGCCCTGGAAAAAAGAAAGCACCACCCATAAAACGTTAGAAATGATATTTGTTTTTGGAATGAATCTACATTTCTTCTCTAAAAAACTTGCAATGTGCAATTTAGAATATTTAACTCACAATTCTATTGACTGTTTTGACAGTTAAGGTTGCATGCTCTATAACTCCTTTCATTATTGCATGACAATCTAGCTAAGCCTGAGAAGGGTTCATCAACAGACACGGCTGGCCAGGACGAGGATTCTGCTGATGAGGTTGTGGATGATTATGAAGAGATTGCTGCGGTAAAACCATCTCCTGGCACTAAGCCCGTGTCCAGAATCCCACCCTTCAGTAGAAAACAGCCACCAATCCCAATATCGTTACCAGGTATTTCTATCCAGTTCCCGTAAAATATTAAATATTTAATGATTTTATACTTCTAAGGTAGGTCTAAAACATCATATTACAGTTTTGTCACTTTTTGCCAATGGCTCAAGTGAGATTTTTTCCTCTGTAAGTTGAAGATCATTTTTTTTTTTACATTTTCAACTTCTCCAAACCCTTTGGGCGATTTCACCCAAACGTTTTCCGCAAAACATTTTTGGATAAAAAGAAAATAAAACTACTCTCTTGAAGAACAACATTTGAGAAATAATGAAGAAAATAATTGAAATTTGAAAGCATCTTCTAAAATCTTCTCAATGAGCAGAAAAGACAATCCATCTTAAGTTTAAGTTTCCCTATATAGTCTAGATTAATTCATGTTGCTTTTTCAATTCCTGCATCCTGAGGCAAGAGTTATGTAACAATCTATGATTAAAGATATATTTAAGATTATATTAAAAATATTTTTACAAATCGTTTTAAGAGCATTTTCATATGAAAGCATCTTCATGCATACAATGTGATTTCAAGTTTCAGCATCAGTTCTGGGTTTCAGTTTAATGCTTCTTTAGGAAACAGAGAGTAAAGATTTTAGGAAAAGTTTTTTTTGTATTCAAACGACCAAAAAGAAAAATAAATAAATAAACGCGTGTTATCTTTGTATGTCATCTTCCATGAAGTGAAAATTTTGTTTTATAAAACCCAAACCCGTTGATATAAGTTTGGGCTTGTAAAGTAAATTTATTCATATGAGTGTTGTTTAACGTTGTTTTGAGAATTTCTCCATCATTGAATCACCGCCACTTACAGGTAGAGGGCTAAAAATTTAGACGTATACTCAGCACTCAGGGCTTTTGAACACCTACTGCTACACGAAACCTCGGTTTATATAATCTCATGTGAAGGACCGGTTTACCGGTCTCTACGCCCCGTAGACGTGACGAAAGAATCAACGCCTGTTCCAACTACTGCGTTAGGCAGGCGACTACAGTAAATCTTAAAATCTCTCTCTCGTTTTCTCTCTCCGATATATGTCATTAAGAGAATACAATTTTAAAATTAAAATATGCATGTAAGGAGCACGAAGCATGAAATCTGAGATTATAACATTCTAAAGAATTCAGTTATGTGTTAATAATGGATTTCACGGCTCGTTCATTTCAACATGTAACTCTGTTGCATTTCCTTCAATGAGTCTGTTTGTTTTTCCAATATGATTTCTCCTTATTTGAAAATCAGCGATAAACTATATAATTCAAAATCGTTAATTCGTCTTTACTTTACTTCTTATTAAACTGGCGTATTTTTGAACTCTCAAATGTATGAATTAATTATTTCAAGATTTTCAAAAAAGTTTTAAAAAACGTTTGGTGCAGTTAAGCGCTGATTAATTAATATCTGAGATGTAATGAAGAGCCCGAGCACTAAATTTTGATATTGAAATCTAGCGTATAAATTTCTAAGCTTTAATATATAGGTATGAATCATGTTATACTTGTAGACAACGATTTAGAGGACGACGACGATGAACCAGAGTGTCCTTACGAAGAGATTCCAGATGTTCAGGAAGTGGAAGGTAAAATTTCGCGCCAATATTTGTATAGGAGAAGTGATATCAGATATAGTGATACGTTCAATGTTTTGTACAACTTATTTTATACAGAAAATATTCTAACCACCTCCTATATGTCTGTGTGTTATTGATTTTTTAATTAAAAAAAAAGAAAGAAAAATCAAGCCAAAAAATACTGTTAGATGATTTATCGTAAAATTTTGCCACACATTTGAAAAGAAAATGTTAAATATTGTCCATACTGGTAATACCAATTATTTCATTGTAAATTGTTTCATTAATTATCCCAATTATTCCTGCATCTTCAGAAATTAAAAGTAAGTAGACATTTGCAGGCAAAACATTGCTTATGGTCTGATCTTGGCATGCTTATTATCTTCCAGCAATACTTAGTTTGTTACATACATTACCTGTAAAAAAGAAACTGATCGATTTATATTAGGATAGATAGGCGAAAAAAAAAATCAAAAATGCTTTTGTTGCTTAAAGAAGAACTTTATAGAAAAATTTTAGAAATAGATATGTTTGTTCTTGTTGCATAATTTCAGCACTTTACACTCAAATATACAGCATGAATCATAACCTAATTTTCAAAAGATATGAACGCATCATTATTATATATTTGAAAGGGGTAAAACAGAACGCTTTGTATTCATGAAATATTTGGAGAAAACGAACAGTATTCGAGCTCAGAAGTCCATTAAACATTACAAAATAGGAGCAGAGCAAACACGGACCTCTAAAACATCACAGGTGGGATCAGGTGGCATGGAGGAGTTAGATTCATGTTATACCAAATTGAATTATTTTGAAAACGTTTCATTTCGATAAAAAAGAGTGTTGCACTTTGGTTAGAGTTCTACGCTGGATGAACATAATTACTTTAATGTTTAGTGGTCCATATTACATATAGCATCCTGGTATAGATAATATATATTTACACATACAGTTATTGATATATGTTTATTATCTTCTTTGAACCACTATTTGATAACTTGTTCTTGAGGAGAAGTTGATTTATGATTTAAAATACTTGAAGGAACCTATAGCTAGTAGAAAAATAAGTTTAAACCTTAATTTGATTACAAGTTGAAAGAATTGTTTGAGAAGGGTTAACTGTTTCACTTTAAAGTTTCTAGTTGTATAGGTAAATTGTTGTACATAGTATTATAATGACTTTTAGACAATGGTGCCCAAAGTAAGTATATTAATTACTGGTAGAAAGTGAATGTTTGATGCTATTAATAGTGCAGAAAAATAATGCTAAGTACTGTATTTTTATCCTGCTGCTTTTGCAACTGCCAGAAAAAAAACAGCATTATAAAGGATGCTTTTTTGGCTTGCAATTTCTCGACTGTATTGCAATAATTTTTCTTTGATGTTTTTTTCAGCGGTTTTGTTACACATAAAATTAACCTTATCCTAAATGAATTTGTTATTTAAATTTTGTAATTTACACTTATTCTTAGATGAAGCATATAGAGATAACGAACAGTATTCAAGATCGAAGGTCCATAAAACAATACAAAATAGGAGTAGATCAAACACGGACCAAAACATCAGAGATGGGATCAGGTGCCATGGAGGAATGAGCATCCCCTGCCGACCGGTCACACCCGCCGTAAATCGTTGGGAGATGAAAGGGAGTAACTGTTTGATCTATTATCTCTTAGAATATAACGCCTAGACTTAACCAATGATCTGTGACAAGGAACGAAAAATTAATCAAAAATGAAAAGAAAATTCCCTTCCAAGCTTTATCAATTATTTATAAAAAATTCTCACGTTCCCTACATCAAATGCAAACATTAAGGTTTTACCAAAAGTCAACATGCCCCAAAATTTATTTTTACAATACCTCCAAAACTTTGTGGTTTATAAAGTTAAAACGTTTACAGTTTGTAAATATATTATTGATTAACTGATCACTTGATAACAAATACTTAAAAAATATTACATTTTTTACAAAATACCATACACCTAAGTACATACACTTAAGTACATTTTTTAATTATGCAATTTTTTGATATATTTTTTCTAAAAAAAAAAACAAAACAATTTTTAAATATTTGTTTTCAAGTGATATATTGATAAATTGTAAAAGTTTTAACTTTACACCTCACATAGTTTTGGAGCTTTTGTAAAAATAAATGTTTGAACATCTTGACTTTTGGAAAAACCTTAACAGAACTTTAACGAAAGAGGAGGGGCAGCATACCAGTTCAAAATGTATCTCAAGTTTATCTTTGTTAATTAAAATACTGTAGTGTCATTCTTAGAGTGTACTAACATGTTACAGTGTAGTAAATCATTCAGGTTTTTTTTCATTTTGTACCAATATACATTCAAACAATTTTCCAATAAATATGTGCTTAATTAACATAAAAAATTTTCATGTTATAAATAGTATCGCCTTTCGATGCACGTATAATTACGCCAAAGTGCGGAAGGCTACGTCACACAGCGTCATCTCGGATAAAAAAGAGTTTACAGCTGATAAGCCTACTTAAAATATGGTGATTTCACCGTTGCACATGCTTGAAATAATTTTATTCCTCAGTAAACTGGTTTGGAAGCTTGTGCACACACTGGAGTTTGAAACTTTGTATTTGTAGTTTGGGACAGCAGTCTCGCTACATATCAAACTTCTTGATTAAATTCATTATTTCGCAAATTTTAAGGTTGATACAATAATCTTGTCAGCAAGTAAAAAAATATAAATTATCATATGTCGATGCTGTATGGCGTTTTTCATACCAGTCATTGACCATTACTTAATTAATCCTTCTCTTAATCATGGATCAGTCCGTGTATTTGGCTAATACACAGGGCTCACAGCAGGTGTGACCAGTCTATTGGGGAAGATTACTTCTCCAAGGTACTGATCCCACCTCTTAAATTTTCAGGAGTCCATTTCTTATGTCCTGTTAACAGATAAATTGTTTTAAGGGTTCTTTTATATAGATAACTGTTAGTCATCTTCACCCATTTTTGCTCCATTGTTTTACGCTTAATATTTTCAATAGAAACGCGTTATCTGCGATTTTACTTGACAACCCTTGAATAGGAAAAATGCAAGATACTTTCTAGACGAAATTATATTGGTTTACACTTTTTTTTATCTTTTAATAGATTAAAATTTGAATGATGTATATTTAAAGGGACATAAACGGTCAAAATTCGCATAACTATGGTTATTTTATATTCAATGGATTCAAAAGAAGTGAGCAAAAAGTTTGAAATAGTCCTATAAATGAATTGTGTTTTACACTTTTCTTTTTTTTTCTTTTAAGAATATTCGAAGAAAACTGGACTTGACTTTTCAAAGTTGCCAAAGGTATATTCATATTACTTACTCTTTTCCACCATAGGAGTATATGAAATAAATAGTAAAGTCAAAGGTTATTGTGAAGGCCAGGGTATAAAAGGACATCCTTATTAAATTTGCATAAATTTGCATTCGTGTAAATGCTTTCAGTGCATTCACGTAAGCTTACATAAATATATCTGGAAAACGTTTCCTTAAAACAACTACTAGTAAATAGATATATTGAAGAAAAGTGAGGTATAAGGAAAGCTGAAGGTATAAAAATGTACTTGATTTTTTTCTAAATATGTAAAGGGTGTTAAGAAAGTTCGTTCCACATTTTTATTTTATTTTCAAAAAGAAATACGATGAGAAGAAATTTATAATTTGTGATATTTCATGTTTACAGAGTCCATTCTTGCTACGGATAAGATTTTAACTATCTTTTGTTGAATCAATAAGGGGAGGGCAGGTATTAAAACACTTGATGTCTGTTGAGAAAAATTACGGATGATGCATATTTGTGACATATATAGTACGCAGGTCAAAACATCCTTTCAAATACTATGCAAAAAAAATTATCAAATCTGTGAAATATTTCAAAATGACAAACCTATTCTTTTGAAAAATGATATATCGTTCTTATACCTACGCTCATCACCTTGTCTGATGCAAGATAAGCTATGAAGAAACAAAAGTAAATTATCCTTTATTTTCACTCAAAGTGACCAGCATTTCTCTCATTCGGGTGCTTTAAAGATATATATTTTTTTTCATATGGAAGAAAAATCCTATAATTTTCTGCTAGAAATGATTTGCTATAAATCTAAAGCACACTCTAGTGATTTTGTCAGATTTGAAAATTCATCTCTTTAGTAAAGCACTACTTTGAAATTTTTGAAAATATTTCATCCCGGAACGAGCTTTCTTAACACCCCTTATAAGCAAATTATGCTTGATAAAATATTGTGATTTGTATCGTTGAAACAAAACTAAACACAAAGAAATGTGAGGTCAAGGAAATTTTAAAGGTCAAGTTGAAATTGTTGATGCAAAAGAATGTCTCTCCAAAAATTTTTAATCATGTAAATTTGATAAAAATATCTTAAACACTTTTGGCTAATTTAGATAGCTTTGCACAAAGTTTAACCAGGGTTGCTGAAAGTATTTTGAATGTTTTCTTTAAAATTATTGGGTGTTGAGGGCAAAGAAATGCTCAAGGTCAAAGTGATGCAGTTGAATTACTTTGCCTAATATCTATCATTTCTTAAAAGAAAAAGTTAATTAATGGTCAAAGGGAGAATCAAGTCAAAATGCAGTTTAATAGCTCTAATAAATGTGCATCAGAGTATAAAATTTTATTATATATCTTGAATAGTTTCTTTAAAACTGAGCTAAACACAAAGTGTGACAGAAAAACAGACGAAAGAACGGAATACAAATATAACATACACCATATATTCGACTATAATCATCTGATGAATAAAAATATATTATATTTTTAAAGACTTTTAGACTTGGCTTGAAAAAGGTCCATGATGAAATGAAAAAGTTGAAGCGCTCACACTCAGTAGAAGTGAAAAGTCCCCCTTCTACTCGGGACCTACAAGTTTCTTCTATTGTTGAGGATGCAGGGGATAGTGATGACAGTGACGAAGAGGACTCCCTTGCCTACGACTACCCAGATCTGACCAAGCTTGCGTCCATGCCACGCCCTCCACCCGTCAGCGATACACCTCGATACCAGGCGTCACTAAAAGTAACAAGACCAGTGGGTAAAATACAACCGATATCTCGCGAGGAGAATCCAACAAAGAAATTCAGTGAGATGACAACAGAAGAGGTCGTGAACTTGTTTAAAACGACCAAGTTACCATCTCTGGCGTCTGTATGTGAAAAAGAATGCTTGGATGGAAGCTTTTTCAGTTCTCTCAGTGATGCAGAACTGAAAAATGCGTTTAAACTAAGTGATTTGCAAATTATCAAAGTGAATAAAATTATAAATGAAGGATGGCGCCCCCACGTGACCTAATTATATTCTAAGCTTGGAAAAAACAATCACAAAACACAGTTATGTTATCCATAGAAAACAGACTGAAATGAACACGAGTCTTTTGACCTTAAGCACATCATGTACTTTTTTCAAACAACTGTCACACGGGGAGATCAAAGGGATTTTACTTACAACATGTAGAAAAAGCCTAACATTTACTCATTGTTCTCTAAAAAGTCTCAACCGAGGAACATATTGGAATTTTCCAATATGTTGGATTTTTTTTTTCAAGTTGAAATAAAGAGTGTTTCATGATTTTACAAAAAAGACAGGTTTCTGCTAATTTATTTCTTTTACAGTAAACTAAACCAGAAACGAGTATGATATGAAAACATTAAATGTAAGTGTTTACAATGTCTAAATTCATCTTATGAGATGAGATACTAGGAGATTAAGAAGCATGTCCTATTGGAAAATAATGTGTTGGGCCAATTTTAACCAAACTTGGCACAAAGTATCCTTGGGTGAAGGGGAATCAAGTTTGTTCAAATGAAGGGCCATGCCCTTTTCAATGGGGAGATAATTATGAATTGGAGAAAAATTAATGGCATTTTAAAAAAATCTTCTTCTCAAGAAGCACTGGGCCAGGAAAGGTGAAACTCATTTGGAATCATCCTCAGGTAGTGTAGATTCAAGTTTGTTCAAATCATGACCCCCAGGGCAATGGTGGGGCCAAAATTTTTACATAGGAATATATAGGAAAAATCTTTAAAAATCTTCTTCTCAAGAACCACTGGGCCAGGAAAGATGAAACTCATTTTGAATCATCCTCAGGTAGTGTAGATTCAAGTTTGTTCAAATCATGACCCCCGCGTCAATGGTGGGTCTAAAATGGCCGACCCAAGTTTTACATTATATAGGAAAAATCTTTAAAAATCTTCTTCTCAAGTGGGCCAGGAAAGATGAAATTTATGTTGAATCATCCTCAGGTAGTGTAGATTCAAGTTTGTTCAAATCATGACCCTTGGGGCTAGGGTGGGGCTAAAATCTTCTTTTCAAATACTTCAAAGTTACGATTAGTGTTATTTATATAGAATCATCCTCAGGTAGTGTATATTCTTTTTTGTAAAAAAAATTGGGGGGGGAGGGGGTAAATTCAAGCCTGATGTGCTCAGGTGAGTGCTCTGGCCCCTGGGCCTCTTGTTTTTTATTTGTCTGTATTTTTGTTTAGCCTTGCCACCTCTTTTTTATAATTTTTTTTTGTAAAAAAAATTCATCATTTATTTCAAGTATTTTAAAATGTCTTTTGTGTATGCGGAAACATATATACATTGTATATAATTTTTCATGTTTTCTTTTCATTACTAAACGGTCAGAATAACATTTATTTTTCTCTTTTGTTGTGGCCATTAGTAACTGTACACGCTGGCCATATTGTGTAATCGATTTGGGGTACATAATTTATGGAAAATGTAAATTCTTATGCAGCATCCTTTTATATTGTATGATATTTGTCGCCAATTCATGTTTTACTTGAACAAAAAAAGTAACTCAGAGAAAAGGAATGTTTGAAACTGACATGCGTGATTGTGAACAATCAGCAAATTAATTTATCTCTTATTTTGTTTTGACTTGGTTGTGTTTTTGAATTTATCATTCATGTTTTATTTTAACAAATTAAAGCAATCCATTTTTAATGATGACATTTAAGGTAGCATCTAATATACATGTATAAACAGTAACAATATCAAAGATCGTTCAAATTTGAAAAAAATACCATTTTCCATGAAGTTTTTAGCAGCAATCTTACCACATGAAATTTGTGCTAAAGAACTTTAATGAACATTGGCATATTTCTGATAACAGCTTTTTTTAGTGAACATTAGGCTTCAGAAATGTAAAAAATAAAAAAAATATTTCTAAACTTTTTTTAAAAATGAAAACATCAATGAAATGCGATTCAGATATGTGGGATCAGATGCCTTGGAGTAGTAAGCATTTTCTGTCGACCAGACACACCTACAGGATGTTCCTTGTCATAATGGGGTACACAGAAGAAAAATCAATAGCCAAATCACTGTAAGGGAAAAGGTTTATTATGAGAAGAAAAAATGCGTCGTGGGAAGCTTTGAAAGTATTGAAAGTGACTTGAATTACATGCTAAGTTTTTCTGCACATTTTATAAATCGCTAAATTTGCGTCTCGCTAAAATTTCTACTTATAAGGTAAGTCTATTTTATCAATGTTGACGTTAAATAATTATATATTGCTACATTTTTTGATAGAAAAGAGAATCACCTAATGGGTCTGTGTTTTTTCTTAAAAATGTACAATTTTGCTGCAATAGTTCGAATAACTATAAAAATCTAAACTTAAGATCAGAAATATTGTACCCTCGTCCTTTTTACACAATCAGGAAGTCTAGGGTTCACAATTCTACGTAGTTTTTGGCTACTTCTTATCTTGTACCACGTGTCACACACCCAATCCATGCGTTGACATAATAATATCTTCAAAAGGTGTTATTTGCTGAGGGTATATCCCAGTCAATATTTGATTCCGCTGTAGAATGTTATAAAAAATGTTCCATTGTGCAGATTGTAAACTTTTTCTCAATTTTCTTGCATAAGATCCTTTTTGTCCTTCTGTCGTATATTTTCAGACCAATCTTTAAAACACACCGAAAATGTTTAAAAACTGCTTACTATTTATTTTTTAATCTTTATCGATAAAGCCATACCAAATATAAGCCATTAGTGGTATGATGATGTGCATTTTTATCTAAGAATACATTGCATATATTTACACATAGTCCATTTGTTGATAAACTTTTTGATAAAACTTTTCCACTTGCTGGCTACACTTGCCTGAAAAAACCTTGTTTGCATGAAATTGGCAAGATACTGGCTCAAAGTGATAAAGAAACTAAAGACGGTTACCTGAACTTCTTAAGACACAAAACAAGTGTTCTTATACAGTTAAATTTTAAGAAGGATAAATCAATCGTTAGGTTTAATCGGATCACATACTTACAATGGTGAGGTTTTCGGTAGCCCTTTTAATGTGTACTTTTCAGGTGTTGTTACAATCAATTAATCTACGGATTTTCCTGTTTGTTCGATCATGACCAGGAGTACATAGCGAGTGTGACCGGTCGAAAGGAGGTCTTTACTCCATCCAAGGCACCTGATTCTACCTCTGATGTTTAGGTATCATCGTCAGCTTAAAGCCAACCAAATAAAAAAGATGAAGGTATCAAACAGAGAGAGACCTATCTCCAAATAACCTGGAAATAATAAACATCTGTGAACAAAGCATAAAACACGGACAAAAAGAGTTAACAGTGAGGTGTGATCAGGTGCCCTGAGGTGAAGAAGATATCTACTAAAGTTTAAATTTTTATATAACATACACAAATCTTCCCTAAGATTTTAATTAAATATGTAGTTTTTGTATGACGTATTTTTGTTTCGAGTTATGTCCCTTGGCCAACGTCTTGGAGCTCAAACTAGGGAATTTTCCTCTTATAGCAACCAACTGTAAACGTGTTTGGTAGTAATATCAAGGCAAAAATCTTTAATATTCTAAGAGAAGGTTTTTGTTAATATATATTCGTAAGATTGTGTTATTTTCAAGTCAATATACAGTATGACAGATTCAAATTGGTTGAAAAATGAAGGAATCCAAGCTTAATTGTTGACATTTACTACAAAATTTTTTTTGGATAAAATCAAGTCCATCGAAAACTATATATTTTGAATAAATGAACAGATTTAAGAAATGTACTTAAGAAATATACTTTTAAAACTTTATTTCCATGCAGCAATGACTATGTCATAAATTTAGTACAAATTAAAACAGATTGAGAAAAAAAGCATTTACAATACATGTACAAGTGCGTTAACAAATATACCATTCTGAAGTAAATTAAAGTTCGTCACGTGATCTGACACTCACGTGATATATGCATTTAATCTGAACCACATGGAAATCAATATCGACAGTATGTACATTTGTACCCAAATTAAAGTTCAAATGGTTGATTGATTAATTATTTCTTCGAATCTTGTAATCTCTAGAAAGTGTTTTGTGTGATACATTTCATGAAATAGAGCTCAATTTTAAAATTGTTGATATTATGATGTTTCATTCCTTAAAACAAAACTCGGTGACAGTTTATACTCAATATACTTTCCAAACAATGATTAAATAAAAGTAGCGTCACGTTATCAAAAGGTATTGCGATCAGCATAGTTTTGGTGAATTCAATGCGGTAGCATTGACGCTTTGATGTAGTTAAATACTCTATAACCTTTTTTTTATTTGATAAAAGATGTTATATATTATATGATGTCTCTGTAGTTATTTCCGATGCACATTTCCTTTCTACAGCGTAGACAGTGCTGCGACCATATCCCCTTAAGGGCTTTATAAAGCTTTTCCTCTGAAATCTTCTCTAATACTTTCCATGATATTTTCTCCAAATTATAAGCCTCTGATATCTTCTCCAATACCTCCTCCTCTGAAATCTTCTGTTAAACCTTATCCTTTGGAATCTTCTTCCATACCAGTTGCTGTTCTGTTGTTGTGCCTCCTCGACTCCTACAGTAAATATTTACATGTACAGTCTTAATAAGAATAGAACTGTTAAAATTATTATAAAAAATTATCTCCCTCTATTTTACAGTTATTCCACTTCTTTTCGAATATTCTGCTTTGATTGTAACATGTAATCCTTCATTTCAGCAAGTGATTATAGATTGCAAAGACAGCAAATTCAAATTCAAAGGATTCGACGATTTGTTAAAGAAAAATGTATGTTTGAAAATTTGAGCATTTTTGATGGGGAATCACAGATCAGGGACCTATTTTACACTTGATTGCTAGCCGTCAACCTAAAAAAAATTGATTTAGTACATGATCGGAATCATCGCTTAACCTCTTGAAAATATTTCTTGGCGTGCATGACCGTGTTGTGTGTATATATTGTCTGTCTAAAGTGGTTTTGAAAAGATGAAACTAAGTGTAAAGTTATCTAATATCACTTAAATGTGTTTAGAGTGCCCATATTGGACAGTTTTAAGGTGATAAGTACATTTAGCTCAAATATGGAATTCTCCAAAGTTACAATTATATCTACTCACATTTTTGCGCTAATTCATTTAACTGATCGAGTAGACACGTGTTATAGAGTTTCATGTGGGTTTTTTTAAAATAATACAATCAAAATTGAAAAAATCAATTAACATTTAAACTACTAGTTTTAGAAGGTCAGCGTGCAAAAGTTTGCAAGAGGATTTTAAAACCGGTAGCTATTAAATTATTAGAGATTTAGAGCTTTTTTCCCTCTGATTTTAAAAATTGATATTTTCTTCAAGAAATAAATTTTTAAAATCTTTTATGAGACTTCATTCAGAAAAGTTTTATGTCGAAATTAAAATGTCAAAACATTGTACTTTCTATCAAGTGGCTTTGACGGATTTATAATTCAAACATGAAGTCACATGATATGAAGTGTCTAACTTGACCACCTACCTGGGATACACATGCTCTCCCCCAGGTCCGGAATCTCTTCACATATCTCTAGGTCGTCACAGTCGCTGTCGTCAGAGCAGCTTTTGAGAGGCGGAGGTTGGGATACGTCATTTTCTGCCGAATCTGAATGGTTTGTGAAATATAAGTGTCACTGTTAGGTTAAAACATTTGAATGCTGTAAGTTTTAATACCTGTTACTGATAATACTAGCAAGTCCGCAAATCATCTCTTATTCAGTGTATTCAAACATTATAAAGACACAGATGTAGTTATATTAACAGATATATAACAAAAGTCGTATGAGACTTATTATCTTACCTTTTCCTGCCATACCCAACCCAACAATCACAAGGATAAGGAAAATCTGTAGATACTTCATGGTGGTTACTTTTGTCACATCTAATGAAAAATTACTGAATTCCCTTTTTATGTCTTTGAGACGAGGTTTTTGAGGTCATTTAGATTGTAAATATAGCACGAGTTGTTGATATTATTGTCTAATGCACAACAACATCCTCTCACAATTTCGGAATTAAATTATTGTGCATGGAGTAAAATCCTTCCAAACCAATGCCATTCATTTCCGTAACATTGATAAATAGATAAACTTTAAACGACAAATGCAAAACACTGGCAGAGATATTTATCAGAAAAGCTTACTTGAGCATTCAGTTTTAAATCTAGTTGAGGGTGGTGGGTGGTTGGGTTGAGTTTAGGATAGGGATAAACCTCTAGCACATGCCCAACAAAATATCATTAAATACCCTTCATCATTTTTTTATGCATAAAATAAGTTAATATGTCGGAAACTTTTTAAAAGTATCATGAAAGAAGACGGTACGGTTTGAGCTTTATTGTGCCCTAAAAATTCAATGTTCTTAAAAAGTTATGAAATTGGCTTTAACAATAGTTGAGTAGATGAATATGATAAATCATTAAAGAATATGACATGAAGAAGAGCCTTTCTTGAAATATGACGTCATTACTTTGGTACATTTTTAAGTTTAATGCAGAAAAGCTTCAAAATGACTCGTTTTTCTACTAATTTTCCTTTAGAAAATAGTGTCTGCCACCGTCGCCCACTTTAATTTTTGGATATATTATGTGAACTGCTATGAAAAATCACTTATCTCAAAATCTTTCCGGGCGACGGTGGCAGAGTATGTTTTTTGAAAGAAAATTCCCTGAAAATTGAGGTCTTCTGCAACTTTTTAAGAAAATACGGGAAAATGCACAAGTTAATGACGTCACAATTGGCATTTAGGAGGTCATATGAGGAAAACCATTTGTGTATTCTTACTGCAGAGATTCCTATGATTCAAAAAGAATTAATTTTAATTTCTTCTATCACTTTCATATTTTAGAAAAATATAGGGCTTTATTTGTATTGAAACTGTACCTTCTTCTTTGGTACTGTGCAAAAAGGGGCATTGAATCGACTCGAGGTGAAAGTTAAACAGCATACAAAATGTGAAATGTTTTACATGAGAAATGAAGTCGTTCTTTTTTTCAACTTTATACACCTATAATGTGTTTCTTGTTATCTTAATTAAGATAATGAGAATGTATTCCCGCCTTATCAAATTTTGTATGTTATAACAGAGTTTCAAGAGGTGTAGCTCTACTGGTATTTTCTTATAACTAAGGAGAGATGAAGTAGCATTTGAACTTGAAACTTTGCAACAGCAATAAATTAATCATTGGTTTAGTCATTTTCTTGGCAAGATATATTGAAATCAGACCAAAGCAGTAGGAGGAATAGCATTTTGAAAATATTTCAAAGAAATTTATATTTTTAGTAACCATGGCAACAGATACAAAGAATTATGTGTCTTAGTGTAGTTTAGTTGTGTTGCAAGATATTGAAATAAGATCAAAACTGTAAGAGTAGAATTTTGAAAAAATTTCAAAGAAATTTCTAGTAAACGTGGCAATACCGTTCATCGAAACCCAGTAATTAGTATCTTAGTGTAGTCTACTTGTGTGCCAAGTAATATTAAAATCAGACCTAAACCGTAAGCGGATTAGCATTTTGAAAAAAAAATGTGTACAGACAAAAAGACGGACGGACGACGGACCCATTACTTTTGCATAAGCTCTTCTGGTCTCGGACTAGTATTTTTGATAATTTAAATAATTTTGATAATTTCGGAAAATTTGCTAATTTTGGAAAAACCCGTCGACAACTCAGTATGTACATAATGACCAAACAATTAGTATGAAAATTCTCAGATTGTTCATGTGTATTTGCTGACAAGGTCATTGAGTCAAACGTACGATTGAAAGTTAAAGTCATCACAGATTTTGATTCTAAACACAATCAATCGAATGTTGATATAAAAATTAAATTGACTGTCGTATTGAAAAACTCTCATGTAGGTTTTAGAAACCAGTTTCTATATGATCTGTGGTTTCGGGGGCCAATTGCTGCTGTCCTCCTAGAATCTGTTAAATAACAGAGCCTTTTTGCATCATACCGGTATATTTTTTTTTAAAAAATGAAGATAAATGGATCTTTTTATAAAAATAAATTAAATGCTAAAATGAAAAAGGAAAGAAAAAAAAAATATATTTAAAAAAATGTTTTTCATGATATTTCATAAGAAGCTGCAAGTTTCTACGTATTATTTACTTATACGTCTTGAACTCACGAACCTTATATTACTTTCAGGATCTCATTTTTACCTTTCGTGGTTCTGCAATGCAGAATCCGCTTTAGTACAGTTAAACTTATTTTCCTTAGAATCTATCAAAGTTAAGGAAATTACAGAAACGAGCATATGGCATTGGTTTAGAAGGATTTTACTCCATGCACAATAAATTAAATCCGAATTGGTGAGCGGATGTTGTTGTACAATAGACAATAATATAAACAACTTGTGTGCTATATTTACGTCGGTATGACCTCAAATACCATGTCCCTAAATATATAAAAAGGAATTCAGTAATTTTTCATCAGATGAGACAAAAGTAACCACCATGAAGTATCTACAGATTTTCCTTATCCTTGTGATTGTTGGGTTGGGTCTGGCAGGAAAAGGTAAGATAATAAGTCTCATACAAGACTTTTGTTATATATCTGTTAACATAACTACATCTGTGTCTTTATAATGTTTGATTACACTGAACAAAGAGATGCTCTAAGGACTTGCTAGTGTTATCAGTAACAAGTATTCAAACATAGCATTCAAATGTTTTACCTAATAGCGACACTTATATGTCACAAACCATTCAGATTCGGCAGAAAATGACGTACCCCAACCTCCGCCTCTCAAAAGCTGCTCTTTCGACAGTGACTGTGACGACCTGGAGATATGTGAAGAGATTCCGGACCTGGGGGAGAGCATGTGTATTCCGGGTAGGTGGTCAAGTTAGACACTTCATATCATGTGACTTCATGTTTGAATTATAAATCCATCAAAGCCTTTTGATAGAAAGTACAATGTTTTGTATTTTAATTTCGACATATAACGTTTCTGAATGAACTCTTGTACAACAGCTGTTATATTTTCGTGACGAAAAATATTTATTTTACCAATTTACAAATTATTTTACCAAAGTACCTTTTAAACTCTCATAATTTAATCGCTACCGGTTTTTCGATTCCCTTGCAAGCTTTTGCGCTCTGGCCTCTGATCGTTGTAATTAATATTTTTTATTTTTTAACTGAATTTTTTATTTGAATCAAATTATATGAAAAAAAAAACACGTGAAACTCTATAGACATGTCTATCTCAATGCATTAATAATGAATAAGCGCAAAATTGTGAGCAGATGTAAATGTAACTTTGGACATCTCAAACTTGATCACCATGAAACTGTTCGACAATGGCGCTCCCAACACATTAAATGTGATATCAGATTACTTTTGACTTTAACCCTGTTTCAAAGATGTTATGGAACAATTAGTTTCATAATTTCAAAATCACTTTGGCCAGACAAAATACACACAATTTAAAGAAACAAGTATGTAACGATTGATCAAAATTTGCCTATATATTTATTGTTATGTGATAATACACGAGAAGAATTTTTTTTTTCAGAGGTTAGGCGAAGATTCCGAACATGTACTAAAACATTTTTTTTTTTTAGTTGACGGTTAGAAAAGATACTAAACTTGTTCATAAATCGGCGAATTCAAATTTAGCGCAAACACTTGGTTTTGAGTTGTAGGCGCATTCATGAATTAGCACTACACCCTAATGCGCTGTATATTGTATCAATATTTTTTTGCGGTATTTATGAATTAGCGCATCGTTGTCCCCGCCAAAGCCCTTAAAATGTAAAGAAAGTTTTTAAAGTATACCTATAGTACTTCCATGATCATAAATGCAAAAAAAATTCTATGATAAATATTCATAGACTTTGATTTTTTTTTTCTTGACAACATACAATTACTTCCTGAAATGAAAGATTTCAATCAAAGTAGAACGTTTCGAAGAAGAAATTATATATTTGTGAAATAAAGGGAAAGATTTTTTTTTATAATGATTAAAAAGTTAAAACAGTTTTGTTCTTATTAATTTCATTATTTTACATGTAAAATAACTGATTATTACTGATTACTTTACTGTAGGAGTTGAGGAGGCACAACAACAGAACAGCAACTGGTATGGAAGAAGATTCCAAAGGATACGGTTTAACAGAAGATTTCATAGGAGGAGGAGGTATTGGAGAAGATATCAGAGGCTTATAATTTGGAGGAAATATCATGGAAAGTATTAGAGAAGATTTCAGAGGAAAGGGTTTATAAAAGACCTTGAGGGGATTTGGTCGCAGCACTGTCTACGCTGTAGAAAGGAAATGGGCCTCGGAAATAACTACAGAGACATCATTCAAATATAACTTTTTTTCCGAATGAAGAATCAAAAATCAGTTTTACAGTATTTAACGACATTTAAACGTTTCAATGCATTGAATATTACTGCACTGAATTTACCAAAACTACGATGATCGCAATACCATTTGATAACTTGACGCCATCCGGCAAAATTAATGCGTTATGTGGATCAAGTAATTTTCAATTACTTGAAAAATCCTTTTTTTAACTTGAAATAATATTATCAATTATGTGAAATGCATGATTTTCTTTTCATTGTTTTCGTTGAATAATTTTATTCTAATCATTGTTTGGAAAGTATACATGTATTCAATAATGCCATTATATCTTTTGTACAGGAAAGAAAATGTTTACATCACACGCCTCAATAAAACATCAAGAACTGATGGATGTTTTTTTTTTATTATTAGAGATAAATGAAATGTTTCTTTTGTGAAAAAAAATGTTGAAACAATTTATCAATCAAATATTTAAACTTAAATTTGGATATGTACTTGCGGGTACATACATACCTCCAGCTTTGCCGGGTCAATAATTCAATATTTAGGTGTTTCGACGACATTTTATCAACTACAAATATTCCTTTCATTTTTATATGATGCGATATATCAGTATAAACTCTTCATAGTAATTTTATTTTAGTAATTTAGTAATTTGGGCTTAAAATTACTTTAAAAAATTTACTTATGATTTCTTCTTTTGAAAAATATTTTTTAACAACTACAAACGTTTGCAATTTTCTAATCTTAATTTTTTTTTTATCATATCTGTGTGCGAGATGTAGATAAAGTTAGAATAAGACATTAAGTTAATCACAATCGTAGAAATTCACTGAACCGACATAAATTACATACAATACATGTATGCACTATTTGGCGAGATTCAGAATCTTATTAATAGCTCAGTCCTTAATTTGTACCTTGTCTGCCCAATTACTACATTTACAGAATAGCTTATTTGAACATTCAGTTCCAAATCTAGTTGAGAACATTCTACTCTAGACCATATTCTGACTTTACATTTTTTATCAAACACACTGATGAAGTGTAAGAAAAAACTTTTTAGTGCTTTTATAGATTTCAAGCAAGCGTTTGACACTGTTTGGAGAAACGGTCTCTGGAGTAAACTTTTAAATTATGGAATTAAAGGCAAATGCTTCACGTATATTACAAATATGTATCAGGGTATTAAATCACTTATAAAGATGAACGGCAATACAACCGATTTTTTCTTTTGTAATGTCGGAGTACGACAAGGTGAAAACTTATCTGTTGTATATTAATGACCTAGAGAATTATCTTGTTGATAGAAATATAATTGGTTTACAAAGCCTTACGACTTCTATAGAAAATGATTTATGTGTGTATTTGAAACTTCTTATACTTTTATATGCCGATGATACTGTCATTTTAGCAGAAACTCCTGATGATCTACAAAATGCTTTGAATGAATTTGAAAGCTACTGCTCAGAGTGGAAATTACAAGTAAATATAGAGAAGACCAAACTATTAATTTTTTCTAAAGGCCCTTTAAACAAAAGAGTTTTTTACTATAATAACAAGATTCTAGAAACTGTCAAAGAATTTAAATATCTTGGTATCATATTTTCAAGATCTGGCTCCTTTCTAAAAGCCAAGAAACATCTCTGTGACCAAGCCCAAATAGCTATGTATGGTGTTATCAGAAAAATAAGACAATTTAACCTCCCTGTAGAATGTCAACTTGATCTGTTCGATAAAATGGTTTTACCAGTGTTACTTTATGGTTGTGAAATCTGGGGTTTTGAAAACTTAGATATTATTGAACGTGTTCATTTAAAATTTTTGAAACATATTCTATATTTGAAAAGTAGTACCCCGAATTATATGGTTTATGGTGAAACAGGACGTTTTCCATTATCTGTCCTTATTTATTCAAGAATAGTCTCATACTGGTGTAAATTATTGAATAGCACAGATAAGAAAATTTCATGTATATTGTATCAATTTTTAATTGCTAACTCACAATCTGAAATTGGTAAGAACCCTTGGATTGACTGTGTTAATCGTATTTTTGAATCATGTGGACTTTCTTATATCTGGAATGAACAGTTTTATCATAATCCTAATCAAGACTGGGTTACTACTGTTGTTAAACAAAGATTACAAGATCAATTTATACAAAAATGGCATTCTGATATTAACAGTTCTTCCAAAGGTACTTTGTATAAAATTTTTAAAACAAATTTTGAGTGTGAAAAGTATTTAAGTACTCTGTCATTAAAATTAAGGAAAATACTTGCCAAATTTCGTACTACTAATCACCATCTACCAGTTGAGCTGGGAAGATGGGCATCAATACCATTAAGTGAAAGATTATGTACACTTTGTAATGCTAAACAAATTGCTGATGAATTTCATTTTATGCTTGAATGTACTGCACTGTCAAACATAAGGAAAAAGTATATTAATGAATACTACTTTACTAGACCAAATGTTCTTAAATTTTCTCAACTGATGACAAAACAAGATGATATGACACTTAAAAAACTCTGTACGTTTATATTAAAAATATATGATTTAGTCTGCCCTCCATAATTGTTTTCCTCACATTTCATTATTACGTGTTTTTTTCCCTCCCTTTTTCCATTTTTTTTCTCTTCATTTTCTTCTCCACTTCATTGTCTTATTATATATATCATATACTTATACCTCTGACCAGAATGTATATATGCTGTAAATATTTTTCATTGTCCTCATGTACCATATACTTTAAATGGTTTGAGTGAATAAATGAACTTGGGTCGCTGGGTTGAGTTTAGGATAGGAATAACCCTGGAGTACATGCCCAACAAAATTATCATTACATTTCGCCCTTCCACGTTTATTGGATGCATAAGATAAGTTAATATGTTGGAAACTTTTTAAAAATATCATGAGACTTGGTACTGTGCAAAAGGCGGTCCGAATGAATCGACATGAGTGAAAGATACAAAGTGTAGCATGTTTTACATGAGAAATTATTTTTTTCAATTTTAAACACCTATAATGTGTTTCTTGCTATTTTAATTAAGATAACGAGAATCTATTCCCGCCTTATCGAATTCTGTATGTTATAACTGAGTTTCACGAGGTGTAGCTCTACTGGTATATTCTTATAACTAAGGAGATAATAAAGTACCATTTCAAATTGAAAATTTGCAACAGCAATACATTAAAAATTGATCATTGCTTTAGTTGTTTTCTTGATATATTGAATCAGAACAAAACTATAGGAAGAATAGCATTTTGAAAATATTTCAAAATAATTTATATTTTTAGTAACCATGGCAACAACATTAATACGAAGAATTATGTATCTTAGTAAAGTCTACTTGTGTTCCAAGTCATATTGATATAAGACCAAAACTTTGAGATGAGTAGAATTTTGAAAATATTTCAAAGAAATTTCTGTAATCATGGCATCGAAATCAAAACCAATATTTAGAATTAGGTATCTCAGTGTAATCTACTTGTGTGCCAAGTTATATTAAAATCTGACTAAAACCGTAGGAGGAGTAGCATTTTGAAAAATAAAATGATTACAGACAGACAGACGGACGGACGACAGACAACTTACTTTCGCATTTATAAGCTCTCTTCTGGTCTTGGACCAGTACAGCTTAAATATAGAACAACTAGTGTGTATTCTTCATGTTACTCAGCAAGAGGGGAGGGTTTAGAGGCAGACACTCGAGTACTACTTTCTTATAACAACGTCTACTTTGTTACTTCGTCATCAAAGTCTATTTTATTAAAATATCAAAATATGTTTATATGCAATAGACTCTTTTTTACTTTTCTCTCTTTATTTTTGATTTGAGTTAAAGGGATACAACATTTCAAAGTAGAAATGATCATGAAAACTTTTAATCGTCGTTTTGCCGAATTTAAGTCCACGGCAAGAGATTTCTTTAATGTTTTAATAGAAATTGATATAAAATAAAATTGTAAAAGCCTGCAATAAAAACTTTCTCGGTTGTCATTTCTTCATATCAATTAACATTCCTTTGATTCTATTCAGAGATTGGTTGGATTTTACATATTAGTTTTACTATTTAAATGACGCTTGGTAACGAGGTGTATCGCTGACGGGTGGAGGGTGTGCCATGAACGCAAATTGGTCAGATCTGGGAAGATGTAGGCAAATGATTTTTCTTCATCAAAGTCATTCACTGTCATAACTATGCATCAGAATGAAATCGTTAATGCTGGGAAGAATATACAAATTGTACAACAGAAGGTGTTCTACATTTACTGAATTTAAATACGTCAACTTCTTTACAAAAATTTGAGTCCATTTTTGTCACGATAAAATTTGATGAGAATACTTCCATTTCTTGAAGATAATTTAAATTTCTAGAATAATTGCATTGATGTAATATGTAAAATACCTGAACAACGTTTTTAAAATCAAAGTCATTTTATTTCAAAATCAATATCATCCAAACGTACGACTTTTCAACACTTCAGACATTTCTACCATATGGTAAATTGAAGACTTACTGACATCATTATACGCCCGCTTAAAAACGGGAGGGTATATAGTAATCTTCTTTTTACAGAATGTAATATATTTACTAACGAACACTATTAAAGATAAAAAGTTCATTAAACAATACAAATCAGGAGCAAACACGGACCTCTGAGACAGAAGAGGTGGGATAAGATGCCATGGAGGAGTGAACACTCATGAAAGACCTTTATATTTTCTTGACGAAAAATATTTATTTTACCAAATTACAAATTATTTTACCAAAGTAACTTTTAAACTCTCATACTTTAATCGCTACCAGTTTCTCTTGCTAGCTTTTGTGTTCTGACCTCTGATATTTTTAACTAATAGTTTATTTTTTACTGAATTATTATTTGATTAAATTATTTGAAAAAAAACACATGAAATTAAGTCTGTAGACGTATCTAACTCAAATAAAAATGAATAAGCACAAAATTGTGAGCAGATGCTATTGTAACTTTGGACATCTCCAACTTGATCACCATGCAACTTTCAAAACTTGCGCTCCAAATGCAGTTAATTTTATATCAGATAACTTTTGATTTTAACCTTGTTTCAAAGAATGTCATCAACCAGTTAGTTTCATAATTTCAAAATCACTTTAGGCAGACAAACACACATAATTTTAAGAAACAAGTATGTAACGATTGTTCAAAGTCTGCCTATGTATTTTTAAAATATAGTAATTCCCGGCATATGTGATAATGCACGCGAAGAAATATTTTTTCAGAGGTTAAGCAATGATTCCGATCATGTACTTAATTGGGTTTTTTTTCAGGTTGGTGGTTAGCAAAGATACCAAACTTGTACATGAATTGGCGAATTCAAATTTAGCGCGATCACTTGGTGTTGAGTTGTTAGCGCATTTATGGATAATTAGCGCAATACCCTAATGCGTTGTATATTGTATTAATAATTGTATTTGCAGTAATCATGAATTAGCGCATCGTTGGCCGCTTAAAATATAAGGCCCGCTTTTTAAAGTATACATACAGTACTTTCCTGATCAAATTGCCAAAATTTGTCTATAATAATTTCCCATAGACTTTGATTTTTTTGCCTTGGCAACATACAATTACTTCCTGAAAGGAAGGATTACAATCAAAGCAGAACGTTTCGAAGAAGAAATGATATACATGTATTTGCAAAGTAGAGGGGTAGAATTTTTTATATATTAATTAGAAAGTTAAAACAGTTTTCTTATTAATTTTATTATTTCACATTTTGTAAAATAACCGATTATTACTGATTACAATATTGTAGAAGTCGAGGAGGCACAACAACAGAACAGCAACTGGTATGGTAGAAGATTCCAAAGGATAAGGTTTAACAGGAGATTTCAGGGGAGGAGGTATTGGAGAAGATATCAGAGGCTTATAATTTGGAGAGGTGGTTATCGAAAGCATTAGAGAAGATTTCAGAGGAAAAGTTTTATAAAAGACCTTGAGGGAATACGGTTGCAGGACTGTCTACGCTGTCAAAAGGAGCTGGGCCTCGAAAATGACTACGGAGACATCATACAAATACATTTTTTCGAATTAGGAAAAAATAAATCAGTTAAAGAGTAATATTTACATCCACTGAATATTTTCTCCTTTATTTCTTAAGAAAACCCATTGCGTTAATCACTGCATGAACTACATTAGGCATGTCGCCTGTACAGATTTCTTGATCAGTGGCTGTTCCATCAAGGAAACGTATAAAGACGTTCACATTATTCATACAATAATTAAACTTTTGGGGTTTATAATGGCCATGCGCGCCCTGACAACCTCAGTTGCGGTTTCTCCAAAATAAATCTATAATATCTTACAACTTGTTTTCTTTTAAGGTATGTACATGTAAATTCAATCATCTTTATGTTAATAATATTCATGTTTATATACCTTGAAAGCTAACGCATTTGAAATGTAATATGTTGAAAAAAAATGAAATGTTATTAATGATTTGTTTCTTTTTCAGAATGTTTTGTAAAATTAATTATTTTATTGATATGAGTTGCGGTTTCTCCAAAATAAATCTATAATATCTTACAACTTGTTTTCTTTTAAGACCAATGTCATCAGAGGTGGAAAGCAAGTGTTGCCATCCCTCACAAGCCAAGCGGGAATCTGGCTCAAACAAAAAAATATATAAAAAACAACTATAATACATATATCAAAAATAAAATCCTTGAGTAAAGAAAGCTCGTACATTTACCCTTTCATTAAAACCAGGAAGTTATGTATGTAAACACACTTCAATGCCTGTATTGCTTAGTTACGTAATTATTCTTAATGACTCTTCCAATAAATGCATAGAAAGTACAGAAAAAATATATTCCGTTAACTTTTTGTGCGAGATTTATCCAATAAACCTTCTATCTACATATTTCTCATAGGAAACGGCTTCCTTGTTCAACATTCAACCTTTCAATTTTTTGTTAGCAGACATTGTTGGATCGTAGGTCACTCCTTATTTTTGAGAGAAAAAACATTTTATTTTAAAGAACGCAAGTTCTTCCTTTTTCTAAAATTTAATAAAATATTATAAAAATTCGTGAAACTAAAGTTACAGAAATATAGGATATTAGAATTATAAAAGTAGACATATGAGAGTTCATTATTTTTTACACAAAATTCCATGCATTAAAATTTCATTTTTCTATGTTTTCAAAAGTCGTGTCACTTCCTATTTCTAAAATTTAATAAAAAATATATAAAAAAAGTCATGAAACCGCTATATAGGATATAGAATTGTGTATGAAAGTAACATTTTAACAATGCATTAGTAATATTTAGTATTCTTATAAAAATTCGTAATGTGTGCCAACTTATTTTTCAGTAGCTTGCTTCATTTTAGAAATGGTTCGTTGGCAGAGTACGCTCTTAAATGTTGAATAAACTACAAATGTAGGAGGCATAAACTTTATATAGAGGTGATAATGATAATGGTATTTTGCTACATAAATGAGAGATGTTGACGATAGAAAAGCTCAAATGAGCACATTTATTTTAATAAAGTTTTGTTAATTTACTATAATGCGTGTTTTATCTACATTGAATATCTACATATGAAACAGATGTGTCAGACTATTTGACTGATGTCTTTTTCTTAGAATTCGTGGGGACATATTAAATCAACATATAATGAAAATCATCAATGTTGATTGATAAAACTTCGTCGTATGTGTTAATGTCAAAGTTTTTTTTTTTAATGAATTCTGTCTCATATAAATATTTTATAAATAGGTCTGCGATAAAGGGCGCTTTAGTACCCAGTAATAGTTTAATTTCATAAACTTATATGTCAACTAGAGGTACTGTGAGCAATGAGCTCACTAAATGATACCCCCGCCTCCCATATGATTATAATGGAAAAGTCCATGTTTTGCTGTGGCCGGGAAACCCAAAATATGTATCGGATCAAAAAGTAAAATAGGAGGTGCACAATGGCAATATGTAATAAAATTTTTGTGAAAGTTTCAGTAAATTTCACTCCGTGGTATAAGAGGAGTTGCGGATAAGAGATGGGTTCCCCAAAGTGTAACAGACAGACGGACGTACAGACGGACGGACGGACATACCGATTACAGTATACCCTCCCACTTTTCAAGCGGGGGTATAATCAATTACCTCGTTTTAGAATTGTTCATACGTAGAGCATGATCTTATGTATGGAATCATCTGAGAGATATAAACCCGGTATGCAAGTGATATTTAAGGAGTAATTGTCTTTTTTTTTCGATTTCATGATGTGATCAATCGATTGGCTGTTGTGATGATTTGCATTAACGCCGAAGGCGTTTATGCATAAAATATTTACATCCACTGAATATTTTCTCCTTTATTTCTTAAGAAAACCCATTGCGTTAATCACTGCATGAACTACTGTGATTAGGCATGTTGCCTGTACAGATTTCTTGATCAGTGGCTGCTCCATCAATGAAACGTATAAAGACGTTCGCATTATTAATACAATAATTAAACTTTTTAATCCTTTTTAAATGATTATTTAAAAAGATATAAATAAGAACAATAAAATGTCTTTCTTTGTTTGTTATTACGCGGGTTATGTATTTTTTCTGCAACAGCTGCTACCGTTAATTCCAGTAATAACAAGCAAAGAATCCATTTTATTGTTTAAATTATCACGCAAGCTAATCGATTGATCATCGTCATGAAATTGAAAAATCTGACAGTTATTCCTTATACATGCTTTGATTCCGCCAATCCACGTGCTCCAAGCCATGCTTCTGTCTAGTTGTTTGTCCCGCCCTGCACGTGGTTTTTTTGGAATCGACTAATACATTTTTGATATAAAGTACATTTACAATTTGTGATTTTTTCTCGGACAAAGACATTGGAAATGTAAATATTAAGGTATATACTGCTGCAAAAGTAAGGAAAGTTCAGAAAGATAACGTCATATCCCATTTATCATCATATATGTATCACACTCCCCCACAGCACCTGATCCCACCTCTGATGTTTGGTCCGTGTTTGCTTTGCTCCTATTTTGTTCTGTTTTGTTCTGTGTTATGGACTTTTAAGGTAGTGATTGTATGGACAGTAAATTTACTAGTTTTCTTCGTGACTTTAATAGTTATTTTTTTAGTGTTTGTTAGATTGTCTGTTATTTCAAGCTCACCAGGATATCTTATCGCAAGTATATGCAAATTGATTAACAACACGCCGTCGATAATCATTTATGTAAACATTTATAAAAATAGACATTTAGTAGTATATAATTATATCTAAATGTCAGATTGAAGAAAGTGTTTTCTTCTTTTCACGTACAGTGTATGAGATAAATTCTTCTTCATATGAATAAAAATAGGTCCAGTCTAATAATTGGTACCCTTGTGAATATCCCATTGTCGGAGGATATAGTTTCCAAAAACCACAAAGATATCGTCAATCAGAAACTCGAACATTTTTAATATCAACTTCAGAGTACTTGTATATCAGATTCGCTATAAGAAAGTAATTTTGCAAATGACAAACGTAAGTAAATTTGTGTTTTCCATTTTATTAAAAACACAGTTGTCAATGATTTCAAATAAAAAGTAGTACTTTTAAAGGTAAAAATAATTCCGTTTTTTGAAAATTTATTTCATGAGGTGGTTTAAAAAATAAAATAAAATGAAAACCTCATTGACACAGCAATTTATATCTTTCCATGATTGAATGATATTTTACAGTTGTATTTGAAAAAAAAAAGTCGTTATTTTTAAAGTACTGCAAGTCAGGTGTTCATCGCCACATTCAACAATTGCCGATCTAGGCAATAGTTTATTTATTTGGTAACATTCATCTCGTCATCCAATGGCCTCTCTAAACATGATCATATCTTAACGCCCTTCTCTTCTTCGAGTTTACTGTAGGGATTTGGAATAGCGCTGATTTTTGTCAGGAACACGTTGCGAAGTCCCTTTTTTCCTGTTTCGCCGGATTCCTCTCTGTGCTTCTTTGACATTCTCTTTTTGACGGTCAAGCAACTGGATAAAAAAAAATCATCAAATTTATTATCACTGACCTTGGAAAACTGAATGCAATTCACATTCCAAATTTTCAATATCAATTCCGATAATGAATATTCATAAATTTATATATTTTTAAAAAAATCATATATAATGTTCATTTCAACGGACACAGATTCTATAGAGACAGCATTAATATGTATATAGCAGGAAATTATGTAATTTTGAAATAACTAACCATAATAGAGAAAATAAAATGAGGATCACGACTCCCGCCATTGAAAAGGCACCCATGAAAAACATGTTCCAGGATCCCTTCCCGCGGTACGCCTTGTGCGCACTGATGAATTTTTTGTATATCTCATCGTTGTCATCTATCTTGGTAAGAAACTGAGAATCATTGATAAATGAAGCATCCTCCAAATCATCATCCTTACCATCATCGTTATCATCGTCATTATCATCCAGATCATTCTCTCCCTCTTGTCCTTTGGTGTCATCTTTCCCGTCCTCTTTGTCTTCCTCTGTATCGATATCTGGTTGTTCTTGGTCCACCTTTACAAACTTACTATGGATGCTTACCATCATTTTGTGTAAAAGTTTATTTTCTGAAATGAAGACCACATAAATGTTTTCATCTTCGATGTATTTTTATATGTTCAGATAGACAAATCCTTTTTATAGGTAACAGCATTTTTTATCTCTTGACCTTGGAGTTTGACTACCATTTCAGAAATCTTAACCTTCGCCACAAGCTACAAAACATGCTGCCAAAGGGGGCTTTTCACAAATACGTCTTGATTTAATTTTAAATTCATATCAATTCATTCATTTTCAATTTGTTTTAATTATAGCTGGGAAAGGAAACTTACCAAATAAACAGATCTGTTTTTCGAATTTTGGAAACTCTATACATTTAGAGGAAGCGCCACAGTCGTTCTCGGAGGTGCAGGTCTTTGCCAGTTGATCACTTTTTTTGTTAAGCATCTTACTGACGAAACCTACAACACATAAAGTCATGTTACGAGAATTTGTATTCTACATCATACAATACATAATACAAGAATTGGCGATGCTTGTTTCTCTTTAAATATATCAAAGTGAACGGTATGCTATGTTAACCCGTTGCAATATTCGATTTTTTTCCATTAATATTGAATAATTCTTCATTTTTATTGTATAATTTTTATTTGTATTCTATAATTTTCCATTTTTATTCCATGTTTTTTATTCTATATTTATAATAATTAATTAATTTTTTAAGGTATAAACAGCATATAAACTTAAACTGACAACGCACCTGGCATACACATGCGCACTCCAAAGTTAGGCACCTCTTCACATTTCCCGACATTTTCACAGTCGCTATCCTCAGTACAACTTGCCAAAGATGGAAGCCTGGATAATTTCATTTCCATCCTTATATTCACCATTTTTTCTACAAAGCGATAAATTCATAAATGCTTTAAAGGATTGTGAAAGATATTGGCATTAAATACTAGCAGTATTTATTCAAAATAATTACCAATTCTGCTTGTAAAATAAAACTTTAATTTATCTCATATAAAAAGAGTGCAATCATACTTGGCAAACAAACGCTTTTGTCCGCAAGACCCATGTTAACACATGTGGAAAAGTGGGGACAATCTGCTTCTGTAGAACAGAATATTCGAAACCTTCTGCCTATAATAGAAAAAAAATCTGCCTTACATGTTAAGTCTTCATAGCGGTGTTAAGCCAGGCCTGCAGACCATAAACTGTGAACAGACTTAAGTCAAAATGTTGACTTTGAATACTATACAGCTTGTTCTATATAATACATGCGTTATCAAAAATATTCAGTTTTGTGTAACTTTCCAATTTTAACATATGGTTGTTATATTTATATAAATTTGAAAGATTTAGTATTACAAGGAATGACTTTCAAAACATTTAGACTTTCAAAATCCAAACAAATATATCAAAAGGATATAAAAACTGAAAACTAGAAAATAAGAAAAACTAACAAAGATACAACCAGTAAAATCATTAAAACACCCTTATACATCAGAAAGACTAGCGGAGAGTAAGTTTTATATTTCTGTCTGGGTTATCTTACCTCTCCGTGCGGCACCCAATCCCACAATTAACAGGACAACGAAAATCTGTAGATACTTCATGGCGGCTGTTCTTGTCTCTTCTAATTCAGTGTTACTAAATTCCTTTATTTATGTGTCTAATTAAGGTGATTATTGAGGTCGTCTTAAATATAAATATAGCACAAGATGGTGTTGCATTTGTCCAAATGTACAATAACATCCGCGCGCCGATTTCCGTTTTATTTATTGTTCATGGATTAATATCCTCCTTAAAGCAAAGTCCTGTGCAGGTTTATGCAATTTCATCACAATGATGAATAATGGAGAAAATGAAGTCCATTTGAACTTTGGCGGATTATCCACACTAGAACAGGGGGAGGAACAGGTGGTAAGTTAAAAATTACTATAAATAAACCAGAAAATTAACGGGGAAAAAATTAAAGAAACGTCCGCTATTTTGTACAATAATCATATTTTTGAAAATTTCTTTTTTTTAATTCGATTTATTAAAAAAAATAATTTGAACTATCATGCAGTTCTGTTTATAAGGTCTTAAAAATTTTAATTTGTCAAAAGAAAAAATAATTTACATGCATATAGATGTATGTGTAATTTCTTTTAAGAGCCACTGAGCAGATTAATCCTGTGATCAACCAAAGTCCCGGTAAGGAGTATGGGAGACTCGGTCAGAAATCGCCTGAGTGATGCCTTGACTTCAAAGGTACAAATCAGCATTTTTTTCAGAAAGCTCACATAATTAGTATACATTGTGAACATAAATCTTTTTTTAAAATAAATTCTATTATATGTATTAATTTGTTTATCTATTTATATATATTTTTTAAATTCTAAAGGGTTTTTTCACTGTATGCTGTTCACAATAAAATAAAGTTCACGACAAATAACAAACTTTTAAAATGTTAATACCTTACGTGACGGTGCTCTGTGTCCATCGAATAAAATGGGGTGTCCACCGTCACAATCAATTCGGAAAATTAAGAACAATGATACAAATACTAGTAATCATATAAATAACAACTTGATTTATGTTAATCATTTTATACAAGTTTAAATAAGCTTTTACATGCATTTTTCCCTCCTCTTGACAGTTACAAGTGTTTCGTCATGCAGTGAGACGAGTCCTCATTTTGATGAAACTAAGTCCTGTGACTTCAGATATAGATTCCCGTCCCCCACACGACCTCCCCGCTGGGAGCCCAAAAAGGTCCAAAACCAAAAGACTTCCATCAGAACAAGAAATCCGCGCGGCGGAACTGTCACACGAATATAACTACCCCGACTTGTCCCTGCTGAAAAAGGAGGTACATCAGCCGCCGCCACCCGATATCACCACACTACCAAGAAGCCATGCAAAAAGGAAACGGAACGGGGAACGATGTGGTGGAAGTCAACTGGGAAGGTCTTTGAGCGATCTCTGTACAAACAGCAGGAAGTACGCAAATCCACGTAAAAACGTGTCGATGAAAGCCAAGTTATTTGAGAATCCGGATGAAGAGAGCGAATCGGAGGAATATCTGTACCCTACGCCATCACCAAAGCAACCAGAAAAGCAGTTCTTTCCACCAAATTCAAAACCACCATTAGCAAATAAGCCATCCTTTCTGAAAAAATCACCAGCTCATGTCACTGCTATGAACAACATAAATCATGTAAACAAAGCCCGCGACTTTCTCTCCACGAACTTGCAGCGAAAACTCGAGATTGCAAACAAGCCATCTCCACGGCCATGGAAACCACAAGAACAACAACCCACTAACATGAACAATCCCCCAGACTATGTAGACATGGGTAATTTCAGAGATATTTCTTTGAGCTCAGAAAAGGGAAAACCTGTTGGAACTGTGATGTTAAGACCAGTAGGGAAAGTGGCACCAAGTTTCGAAGAAATTAAAACAGAAGTCCAACAAATTTCATCTAAAACAAACTTCAGTGATCTTGGTGTAACCGAATTAGTTGCTTGTCTTCGAAAATGTGGACTCTGGGAAATGGCAGACGTTTGTCAAGCGGAGAAACTGGATGGCGCCTTCATTAATGAACTATCTGTAAAAGAGTTACAGGAATTCAAACTGACGCCATTACAAATGGTAAAACTAAATAAGGTAAAATCTGGTTGGAGACCAGTCACAACTCAGCTTTTGTAGAGGTGATTTGTCTCATTGTAGATTGTCATCTAGTGTGAAGAGTTTGTTTCCAGACCTTCTTCTATCCCGGTGAAAATTTATTGATATTAGTGATATATAGATATTGTCTAGAGTTATTATGTAGGTGAGTAGCACGGCTACTACACATAATATTACCTGCATTGTACTATTTGTTGCAAATTTTGATCACTGTTTTTCAAAATTCACTTCGATTTTGAATCATTGTTTGTTTTTTTTACTTATAAAACAACATTTTTATGGGCTATTTTTTATGTTTAAGTTATTATTCATTTGGAAAACTTGTGATATTTTCATAAATTGTTATCTTGAATAAATTTTTCCTGCGTTTCTGTGATTTTTCTTTTGGACCAAAGCGGTTCACCATTTGTAGCCTGATTTAATGCGTTGATATTACAAATTACTCATTGAAACCCGTAAATGAACAGTCTACAACGTAATAAATCTAGAGTTCAGTCTGAACTTTTTGGCTAAAAAATTTATTTCGTAAATTAAGTCAAATTGATGAAGACAAAGCATCATTTAAGATGTACATGTGATTGAAAAATGAAGAATGAATAGATTTCTTTTCATAAAAAGAAATTCTATCAAATAAAATTCATTGACTACAATGGAAGTAACAAAGAATAGTGTACATTATATCCAGAAGATTCTTGTTTGATTGAAAGTGGCACAATAATTAAAAAGACTCAAGAACAACATTTATTGGTTTGCAACAGCATATGAGGGTCCAAAAATCAGTTCCTTTATTATATATCATTATCTATTCCTTCAAAGTATACCCTGCTTTTATACATGTCTCAAGACCCAGAGGACAATGATTAATAGAACTCTCCACTCTCCTCGACAATTTTAAAGATGAAGAATCTTATTCTGGTTTCTTTTTTCTTTTTTTTTTTTTGACAGTCTGTCGCCATAGGTACTTGTCGTTCAGTACCTATTTATTTATGAGTACAAATAATATGATATGATACTGGCAAACACGTATAAAAAGGCGTCACTCTTTTGAGTCTATAAGGGACACAGAATCGAAAAGTTCAGTCAGTACCCTTCAGATAATCCTCAGGGATATTCAATGAAATAAATAAAGATAACGAACAGTATTCAAGCTCAAAAGCCCATAAAACAAAACAAAATAGGAGCAGAGCAAAAAGGGACCTCTAAAACATCATAGGTGGATCAGGTGCAATGGATGAGTGAGCATCCACTGCCGACCGGTCACACCCGCCGTGTTCTCCTTGTCATGATCGGGAAATAACAGGAATATCCGTCGTCAATTTAGTGTTTAAATAATGGTCTACCAATTAGTATGAAAAAAAGTCAGTCAGCATTTGACTCAATGTTAAATTGTATTTGCTGACAAAGTCATTGCATCGACCGAAGAACTTACGAAATGATGAATTTAAACGAGACTGTTGATATTCTTGTTTTATCAACATGTTTGTCAACAATTTACCTCGTTTTAGAAAGTGTACATACGTAGAGCATGCCCTTGTGTATCGAATCAACCGAGAGATGTTAACCCCAAATACAGGTCATGAAGGCATATTGCTGCATAAGTAAGGGAAGCTGAGAATTTAAAGTTAAAGTCATTACGTTTATCATAACGCTTGGTTGTTAGATTACCATTAACGTCTTTTTCAAGTTAAAATATCCAAATATGAAACAAATGTGTCAGACTCTGAGGTATCTTTTATCTCAAGCTCATCGGCACATGCATGTATCGTATCGACAAAGGAATTGAAATAACCAAATAATAATTGACAATGCGTCGTCGATATGTTGAATGCCACTGCATATGTCATTTGTGCAGTCTTCAGGTTCCGAGTTTTGGTATAAACCGATGGTTTATACAAAAAAATTGTAAAGAAAAGAATGTAAAGTTTCTGTTAGTGACATATTGAAGATTCCTTTTCCGATCACATGTCTTCTATTTTAAAATGTTCTGCGTAAAAATGATAAATCTATGACATTTGGATAACTGACACTTCTTTAACTGTTGTAATTTAACTGACCAGAACTTCTACACCAAAAACGTGGGATACTTCATTTCGATTCAATGACAATGCCGATAGTGTTTGAAATCTTTCCAGTCCACAGTGTAACAATGTCATTGTGATGGGACTTTTTAATCATACACAGAGACGTAAACGTAGTCATGGGCATCAGCTTTACAATAAGGATTTAATACATTGTACACGATGTCTCTTTTGATTCGTTACTACCTTATGTAAATCGACAGTTACGTCTTCATCATATTCGCACCAAACTTTACTCTGTTCCTTTGAACTTTTGAATAGTCTTCTTGGAAAGGTCAATGAAAATCCATTTTTGATTCCTCGACACAAGAATACTGGCTTGGATCTGTGATTATGGATATTACAAATCATAGACTTTTAAAACCCCATGTTTACTGAAGAAAATGCAGCTAAAACAATCCGGTTTTTCTCTTAAACAAAAGAATTGGCGTGGTATTTTTATGGGCAATCACAAAAGGGTCCAGTCTTGTATTCGCCATGTTTCAGTTAAACACTGCACACCATGTATTTCCTACAAATACCCGGTACATCGACTATTTCGCCCATATGTTTTAATCACAAGAAAACTTTACAGGGCCTAGATACTCAGTAATGAATATCTGAAACATAATCCTCCATCGTGTTCTTATTCTTCTTTACCTAATAACTATTGTCCTGCTGTACACGTTTTGATGCTATTACTAGTGACGTAAATATAGTTAATAATGAAGATGACTGATTGATTATTGTTTTTTTAACACCGAGTCGGCAATATTTCAGCCTTATTTCGGCGAAGAAATTTAAATATTGTATGAACGGTTTTGAAAGTTTTGGGTTTCTCTGGCGGCCCCCAGTGAGCGTACTCTTTTCCGAACTCCAGAGAAACGATCTTTCACGTGCCAAGGGGGTGGGTTGATATCCTTGATACGGGGCACCATTTGGACTTTAGAACACTAATTTTAATAGGTCCTAAATATAGTCTTTCAACTGACGTCGTAATTAAATAGATATCGTGGATTCTGTTGAAGATTACGCCAGGGGATGGGACAGACAAGGAAAAGACCTTAACACTTTGTCAGAATGGATAACATATGTCAGAAGTATGTTGAAATCGCGCATTAAGCGATTGAAGGGCAATATGAAACCATGTATCCTTCTGTATTCAATAATCCAGAAATGGAAAAAGAATTAGATAAAATACATTATCAATACGTACATGTTCATGCAGACAAAGCAAGTATCAACATTGTATTTGTTTGTGAGGCTCATTATATAAATTGTATTATAGAGGATCTTGGATTTAATTCTACGAGTGGTAATCCAACGTATACATATAGATCACTTTTTAAGGAGGAAATTCTTCAAAATCATGTCAGTTTTGAATATTTTTGATATTCCAAACAACCAAAATGAATTTGAATTACCACATCTATATTGGATACCAAAACTTCATAAAAAAAATCCTTACAAACGAAGATACATACCGTGTTCCAGTACATTTTGTAAGTGATCTACCAAGCCTCTTTCTTTACTCTTCACTGATAAAACTGATATTTGAACAGTAGTGAAGGAGAAACTTCAAGAGTACTGTTCAACGGTATATTCGAGAAGTGGTGTGAATCAGATGTGGATACTAAAAAAATTCCAACGAACTTTTGGAACATTTGAAATCACTAAATTTTACAAAAATCAACAACATAAAAACTTTCATGCACTTTTCAATTTCATTTACAGCTATTCCACACGATAAATTAAAGTCCAGGCTTTTTGACATCATTGACAGCTGCTTTTTCAATAAAAGTGGAACTCGTAAATTTACTTACCTTGTCATTGGTCATTTGCAAAATGATTTTTTTTAAAAACATTCTGATTTTAAATATAAGTATACTCTGAAGTCGATATTAAAAAGATGCTCGAGTTTCTGATTGACACAATTTATGAGGTTTCGAAGACCAGGTCTTCTAACAATCCATTGGAGTTCTTATGGGTGCTACGCCCCGTTATTAGCAGACTTATTTTTCTATTAATGTGAAATAGAATTTGTTCAAAATCTTAAATTAAAAATAAATCAATATTTATGAACAAAAAAAATATCTCAAAATCATAAAATGAAGAAAACACTTGCTGTGGCCTTCAGCCACACAGTTAGATACATCGACGACGTAGTGTCAATTAACAATGGTAATTTTCGTTCTTATGTAGATACTATGTAAGTATCGATATGGGATTTAGAAAAAAAAGATACCATAGAGTCTGACACATCTGTTTCATATTCGGATCCTTTACTTAAAAAGACGTTAGTGGTTATTTAACAACAAAGCTTTATGATAAACGTATTGACTTTAACTCTTCAATCGCCAGCTTCCCTTACTTATGCAGCAATATTACCTTTGTCACCTGCATACAGAATTTATATCTCTCAGTTGATTCGATACACAAAAGCATGTTTTATGTATGAAGGATTTCTAAAACGAAGTAAGTTATTGACAAACAAGTTGGTGAAGCAAAAATATTAGCTGTCGCGTTTAAAGTCATCATTGCGTAAGTTCTATGGTCGATGTACAAATGTACAATGATCTTGTCAGCAAATACAATTTATTTTAGTCAAATGCTGACTGACTTTTCTCATACTGATTGTAAGGACAATATTTACACACTGAGTTGTGCACGAATTTTTTCTCGTTATTTCCCGATCATGAAAAGGGACACGCGGCGGATTTGACCGGTTGGCAGGAGATGCTCACTCCTTCATGGCACCTGAGTCCACCTCTGAAGTTTTGGAGGTTCATTTTTGCTCTGCTCCTATTTTGTATTGTTTATAGACTTTTTAAATAGCTTGAATACTGTTCGTTATCTCCATATATTTCATTGAATATCTATGAGGATTATCCGAAAGGCACCGAATGAACTATTTGAGTCTGTGTCCCTTAGAGACTCAAAAGAGTGACCCCTCCTATTTTTTAATATTTAATGGACTATTGAACTCGAATACTGTTCGTTATCTCCACATATTTCACTGAATAAAGCAATATGTTTTTGTTATATACTCACTTCCCCGGTATGGCAGCCAATGGCAAATTTTAAAGATTTTCAAATGCAAGTCAAACTCCAAGGTGGAGGTCAAGTAATAAAAAATGTTGGTACCCAAGAGAAAAATATCACAAGGAATACATCTGTGAAATTCTCAATCCCCTTCTCTAACCACTCTAAAGTTAT